AAAAACAAAAACCTAAAGAACCTCCTTGATACTTTCCACAGACTTCAATTGGAACCAGTATATATATAATTGTGAGGCCCTGAAGATAGTCTCCACAAATCCATAAATATCTAGAGCTTTAAAAGTTAATGTCTTTGGATAAAAAAATCTTTAAAGGGGGCTAAGATATTGTTGGTTTTAGTGCCTCTTACACTGCCCACATCCTGCTAATAGTAAGTACAAGAAGGAATTTGGAAGGTAGAAGCAAGTATGATCTAGATTTTGCTTGTACTGATATTATACTGGTAGTTGATTACTGTCTCCTGTGACTTTTACAACTTCTCCAACTATCTGTAAACTGCATCCTTCAGAATTACTAAGAGCAGGTAAGTAGTAAACCTTCTCAGAGGTCTGGGCCAAAATCACCACGCAGACATTTTTTTAGAGCTTCAGTGTTCGGATAACATCAACTATTCTCTTGTTCCCCTACCCTAGGATGAGGTACTGTAACCTGCAATCATGACCTCTGGGTTACACTGTAATGTCTCTGAACCCATACCCATCATGGGCTTTCCTGATTGGACACACGCTGCTAGAGATGCTATCTGAAGAATATACATACTGAAGTGTCTAACGGCAGGATCAATATAGAGATACACGTGCTGATGGCTAACTTTTTTCCACTTAGCACTTCAGAGTATGTTTAAACATTAAAAGGATATTAATAGGGAAAGATGTCTGCAACAGCAAGGGTCTGGGGAGTTTAATTCAATGGAACCTCCTGTGATAATGTGAATGTTCTAAAACGTTGTTGTCCAGTATGGTAGTCAACGGTCACGTATTGCTACTGGGCATCTGAAATGTGGCATGCGTAAGAAGTTGTAAATTTCATTTGCTTTAAAATTTAAATTTAAGTAACTAGTGACTACTGTATTAGTCCAAATCCAGGGCGACTAGAGGACTGGAGCAGCTACAAGAGCACAGATTAGGTTGCTGGATAGTTTGGTACTCAGGCTACAAAATAAGACATAATCTCCCATTTAAAAGACTGCAGCCAAGCACTGGGAAAGAGTCATGCAGAACTTTGAAAGATTAGTCTACCAACAGTGTGGAACGTGGGTTACAGGAGCAAGAGTAAAGCCAGGGTGGTACAGAGGGACAAACCTAATAGTCCAAATTAAGAGCTGAAACTTCATCAGCTGTTAACAGTAAAGGCATATTAAAATTTTTGACAATATATACGAATGATGGAAAGTAACAGTAAAGTTTTGAGTAATTCATTTCTGAACTCTTATATCGCTAACCAAGGAAATCAGATTTGAGTGATAAATTCAGCTTAGATGAGCAAAGCTTATTATTTTTTTGGTACTGGAAATCGAACTCAGGACGTTGCGCTTGCCAGGCAGGCACTTGTGCCACTGAGCTATATCCCTAGCCCTAGCAAAGTTTAAAGTACCTCTAAAACACCCAGGTACACATGTCAAACAATTACAAATATGTATCAGTCTAGCACAAAGGAGTTTTGGTTAGAACCACTGACTTGTGAATTATATAGACAGACTGGGAAGACTAATAGAAAGCACCATGTCTTCTATATTTATGAAATAGAAAAAGAAAAAACAATGGAGAGGCAGAGTAACCCAAAGAGGTCTATATATCAGGAAGTCAAAAATCCTGAAAACCAGGAGGAATAATCAACCATGTCTGGTTGTAAAAACAGCCAAGTATTGAATATGTATGTGGCAGATATTTTAAAAATATTTTTCATATAGAAACACATTTAATCTTTAAAAGAATCCTCTCAAAGGCAGGTTATACTGTAATCTCTATTTTACAAACTGAGGCATGAAAAGTTGATTCACTCAAGTTCAGAACAGCCTGGATGTGATCTGGAGAGGCAGGGGAGGGAGGGAGGGACTCCCCTCAGGAGTCATAAGGGTAGTACTAGTCCAGTATGACCAGTGCCTTATATGCAAATAAAGACATCAGGGAGGGAGAACAGTGGGAGACGGGGGTGTGTGTGCGCGAGAGTATGCGTGTACAAAGCGAGTTCACCCTCCTAACTTTAGCTAAGCTCAACCACAACTGAGGTAGGGCCACACAAAAGTCTTCAGTAAATTAAAATTTACTAACAACTATTTAACCCAATGTCCTACAAACAGTTTTCATTTAAGAAACCTACACATCACACATAGGATCTAAGTACTTAGGAAAAGCTCTTCCTACAATGATTTTGATGTACAACCTGGGTTGAAAATCTTGATGTAGCTCTAGATTATTGAAAAAGAGAACCATTTGCTAAAGGAAAAACAGGTTTGGGGCTTCTAAAAGGTGAAAAAAAGTGGGTTACTTCTACAGGATGAGTGTATTCTCAAAATAATAGATGTATCTTCAGTTAAATTGGTAAGTTCACCGTATTCTACATTGTCATTTATATTTTCTTCATAATACTCCTTATTACATCCTGGCTAATAATTAAGTAAAAATTTAGTTAGGGAGGTGACAGTTGATGGAAGGATCATACCTAATCTCACCCTTTTCCCTGGTAAGGAAAAAGAAAACTCAGTACTACAGCAGCTAGCTGAGTAAGAGGATGAGGATGGTAGTGTGTGTGTGAAATACTAAGGAAGGCATATGGAACAAATAAGGGCATGTAAAATTCTGCAATGTATGCTCATGTCTATTCAACTGTGCAGTTATCTGGAGCATGACTCATTTATTTTTAATTATTTTTGTATCAATGTATCCATTCCAGTATTTTTTCTTATTAGTTACTTGTATCAAAGATAATCAGGAAATGGGCCAGGGAGGGAAAGGAAAAGAGAAAGGAAGTAGATGTTGGGAAAAGGAGAAACAATGTGTAAGACAGATGGATAGTCAGTTTTACAAAAGTAATGATCCTCTCCCTACCACTCCCACTCAAGAAAGACAGGAAAAGAGCACCACGTGCATGCTGCGTAAGTTTAACTGAACAGAAGGTCCATGTTTAAGTTGCATGTAGAGGGAAGAATGAAAAGAGGGAAATAGGATAAAGGCAGAAGAAAACAGAAATACGCCCATGGTAAAATATTAGGTGAAATGGATGAAATAAACACAAGTCAATATGGACTATTTTTATTTAGCAAAATGCATTTAATGAAAATACTGAACAGATTATATGATATGAATGCACTGCAGGCAATTTCTACCTTGGATTGCTGTAATTTTATTAATTTGTAAAGTTAAAGTAATAGGAAATACCATGGAGGTAAGAGCAAAACTATACTGCACATATCTGCATTATATCTTGATGCTGAAGAGACGATGCTAACAATTCCATTCTTACTGGTGGAAAGAAGTAAAAGTGTGCTGTTATATGTTGTAATTCAAATTATGACCCACCAGAATTGATACGCTGTAGCTTTAACTCCTAAGGTGACTACGTTTGGACATAAGGCTTTTAGGAGTCATCAGGATGGGGCCTTATTCACTATGCCTGATGTCCTTAAAAGGTAGATACACCAGGGATGCATGCGCAGAGAGCATGCCATGGCCACGTGAAGATATAAGGCGGCGGCCATCTGTAAACCAAGAAGAAATGCCTCAGGAGAAACCAAACATGTCAACCTTGATCTTGAACGTCCAGCTCCAGAGCTCTGAGAAAATAAATTTATTATTTAAGGCACCAAGTTGTGTAGCAGTTTACTGCTATACCCCAGCATACTAATAATACACATACTTTGAATGAAATTATCATGGCCAAAACAAACAGTAACAAGTAAACTAATGTAAAAGCACACAAAACTACCCTCCCTCATTACCCAGCAAGCATTCAAATTTTGTATTTTGGGGGGGCTAAGAGTAGGACCCAGAGGTAAGTTCATGTATGATTTTTATCTGGATGTACCCACAAACCCCCATGTGTTCAAAGGCAGAGCTTATAGAAGGTGACTAGATCACTGGGCCCTATGGCTGGCTTACTGGGGAGACCAGGGACCTGGGTGGGAAAAAGGGTCAATGACGACGTGGCCTGGAGGATGTATCGCTCTCCCAAGCTCCTCCCACTTCTCTCGCTGCTTCCCAGCTGCTACAGGGTGAGCAGCTTTCCTCTGCCAAACCTTTCTATCCTGCCTCTTCTGCCTGGAGCCAGCTGACCACGCAAGAACTGAATCTTGTAAAATAGTAAAAGAGCCAAAGTAAAGCTCTCCTCCTTTACCCTGGGAGCGTCAGATACTTTGTCTCTGGGATGAGTAAAGTGACTAAGACAGTTAACAAGTCTGACACACTGAACAAAGACAATGAACTTCTGGAAAATCAGAGAAGAGAAAATGCATCTTCTTCTTGCTGAACCTATACAAACAAAGCAAGAAAATAAAAATAAAATAAAAATTTTTAGCCACTTCCTTTAAACTGCAAGTAAAGGAAATAGGAAAAGGCTTCCAAAAAAGGACCATGAGTAAATACAAATACGATAAATTTAAGGAGCACTGGGGCTGGGGATTTAGCTCAGCGGCACAGCGCCTGCCTAGCAAGCATGAGGTCGTGAGTTCAATTCCTGGTACCAGAAAAAAAACAAAAAAAAAAATTTAAGGAGCACAAAATGCTATAAATATTTTTATCTAGTACAGTGGCTTTCACACTTTAGTGGACATCAAAATCATGTGAAGAATTTGGTTAAAAGACACAGGAAGGAGTTTTAAATCCATACTTCCGCGGCAGGGCTCAAGCATTTTCAGTTCTGACAGTAGTGAAGCAGCTGTTCTGGAGATTATACACTGAAAACTATAATTTTAGTGTATAATTATTATTGTATTTCAAAGAATGTTAGAAAAGAATTAGAAAGGTTGGCTCCCTCACCGGTAATTGTCTCCTTAAACCATGCATTTATAAGGAATTACTACAGGTTTTAAATTCTATCACTTTGACAACTACTCTAAATTACTTCAAAATATAACTGGGGTGGGGGAGAGGGGGAAGAGAGTACCAGTAACCAAAACAAGAGTCATCTGATTTGAAGTCAAACTTCCCTTGGACAAGAGTTCTGTGAGGTTCTATTTCTTAAGCTGTGAGTTTTATTTATGCTAGTAAATTAAACAAATTTCACTGACCTAAATCTTAAGACTAGATGACACAAGAGTACAAAGGTGAGCTTTAAGTAAGTTTTTTCAGACTCATTACTAGGAATGAGTAATCTTATTTTTTTAAGTACAAAGTAAATACAATAATACTTACCTTCAGCAAAACAGCCACATAAGATTCTTTGGACATGCCTTTTGAAGGAACAATTTCCATATAGTATTTGAGTACTTCTGTATCTCAGCAGTCAATTACACATATAAATGCAAACAACTTTACCATTAGAATAGAGTATCATAAAATATCAGATACTTTACAAAACCTGTGATGATACATATGAAGATACTAATTTTTTAACAATACCTGAAAACCATACTGGACTTCTGTTCAGCAGGAAACTTAAAATCTAAAAGCCAAATACACTTTGATATCTACAATATGCAAAATTTAACTTTACAAGTATGAATGCCTTCTCAGTAACAGCAATACAATGAAACTTTTAGAAAGAGACTCATATGATAAACATTTTTTCTTCTTCCTCCACTCAGCATCTTTGGTGAGAGGCACTTTAAAAACACTAGTTTGCACGACGCTATAACAAACATACACATAATATAATGATATATTTTACTATGCTAACAAAGTATTATTTATAAAGAAATTTTTATAAATTCAAAAATAGGTTTTTATAACATGAGTACCTGTAAAGCATCAATTTCGATTTTCATTCACAATATTATTTCATTAATCATAAACAGCAGTTCCATCTATAAAATGTTTAGATTTCTCCCTTTTGAAAAATTAATGTAAATAAAAGCAGTTAATATACTCATAATTTCTAGTTAAACAATATCAACTTCATTTCACAGCACTGATTAGTAGAGAACATTTTCAATTAAAATGGTATACAATTTACAAAAATAGAATGATTATATAATGTAAAACAGTGTCCTCCTTTAAGAAGAATTTCTGTATGGGTACATAGTTTAAGTGTCACAAACAGCCCTTAGTCAAGTACTTCTGTAGGTTTCACTTGAAATAATCACCTTGCTATATTACTGGGAATACACACAAAAAGAAAAAACAAAAACACTAAAGCTTAATATAAGAAAAGTTAAAAGTTTCAATGTCACTTGAGTTAAAAATCAGTCACTTCAGTGAAAATCTAACTGAGTTCAAAACAGGTTTAGATGCCACACAAAGTTGAACTTAGTAAAAAATATAGTTATATTTAAATGTTAAACACTTAGTAAACTTAGCATATGCTTCCATTACAGGAATAAAAGAACGTATTTATCTACTTATTACCCAATCTTTATCCCAAGACAAAATTCATGAGAATATTAACTAAAAAGATAATATTAATATACAATATACCTGCTTACAAACACACAGGTAGCCATAAATAAACTTTATTCTTTAATTTCATTTACAAGCTACCAAATATGTATAATACACAGTGCCGAACACTTAAAGGCTGCAGTCATGGAAGAGACCAGACGGAATGGAAAGCGGCTGATAAAGGAAAGATAAAAGCAAAGTAACACTGTAACAGCAAGGTGGCAAAAGCATAATTTTGCCATAATAAAATCAATCCGATTTATAATTATCCATCAGTTCTGGTTAAAACAAAGTCTGAGTGCCATGCGATTCTCAGCTTTATTGTTTGAAGTCTAGCTAAAGTCTGTATAGTCATTGTCTTTTGCAGTTATTAAAATAAAAAAAGTTAAAAATTATAGCAGCAACAAGCAAACCCTGTGACAGGAAGGCAAGGGTCAAGAACTAAAAAGGTTTATACAGTGTCAGGGGAAGTGTGTGCAGTTTATCTTCCATCAGCAGGAGTTCGACTGAGAGACAACATGATCCGGGCAAATCGTTCACAGAGTTCATGAGTGGAATATGAAGGTAACTTTGGCGGCTCATTGAAACTTTTAATCTCTGTAGAACAGTCAAGCAGTTTTGGCAGAAAATCTGTCAGCTTTTCTTGGAGATTTGCTGCAAATACAAACAAGGAGATGTAGCTAAAGATAGAGATAAATTATGAGGTGATCATCTGCAATCTGATTTATTAGCTTGCAATGGCTAGTTGATGTTTTATTTCTAAACACTACGTAAAATAATTGCCATTCTGGGGCAAGAGATAAAATACAAATGACAAAAGTAATACATACAACTTAGTTTGTAAGTATGAGGAAAAGAAACCATACTGATATGAATATGAAAATATTACAGAATATTTTTAAATGCCCAAAATATAAAGCACTGTATTCTAATTGCTTCCAACCCCAACATATCAGGTGCCTCCTAGCAAATGGTTAAACTCACATTCCATTTCTTGTCCTAAGTAGGAGCACCATCGATTCCTCATGTCTTCTACAGCAAGTATATCTTTCTCTTCCATCTCATCCGCCAGTAACAGGGGCAAAAATGGAACAATAAACTCATTCATAATAATCAAACCATTGTTTACTTCTTGATCTTCTCCAGATTCAAAGAGTTCTGCAGCTTGTTCATTTAATTTCTTTGTGCAATGAGAAAAAAAGAACATATTTTGTTTACTTTTTAATTAAGTAAAAATACCTGTAAATGTTAATACTGAAGATAAAATAATACTTATGTTCATAAAGACTACTGAAAAATAACAGTCAGGAAAAATAACCTCAGCCTCTTTTACAACATAGTCTCTTAGAAAAAGCTATGCATAGAACAAGAGAACAAATCAGGAGCAAAATACAGTGTAGAAGAGATCACTGTGTTTTTAAAGTTTATGTTCAGCCTTATTACTTCAAGCCTCACTGGAGGGGTCACTTAAAAGTCTCCAGAGATTAACTTGTCTCAGTATGAAAATTTTATAAGCATTCAAAACAAACTTTAAAATAAAGTAATTCAGGTTCCATGTTAATGTTGAAAAACTCATCTCCTTCATAAACATCAAGTGAATACATACTATTATATTCCTTAATATAAAGAAGGTTAAGGTGATAAAAGTAATTCACTTTTTTCTACAACAAATTTTTATTGAATACACACTACATGCTACCAGGTTTTCTACAGGGGCAAAAATGGAACAATAAACTCATTCATAATAATCAAACCATTGTTTACTTCTTGATCTTCTCCAGATTCAAAGAGTTACAAACAAAAAACTCTTACGGAGCTTATAATTTGGTGTAGGCATCAGCAAATTTCGGCTGGACTATTTTAGGGCTTTTGCGCTGGCTACTCAATGTTGCCATTACTAGACAAAGGAAATCATATATAACATATAAATCAACAGTCATTGCTATATTTCAATAAAACTTCATAAAAAAGGACGGTAGACTGGAGTGCTGACCACCAATTCAGAACAGGGAAATCCATGAAATCAGACAGACATAAGACACAGAGTACTGATACACAAAAACTATGATATTTAAGAGTTTAAATTTGAAATCATAATGAATCATAATGAATGGTAAAGCTGAATTTAAAACAGAAAAATTACGTCTTTTTATTATGTAACTTTTATTGAACTGATTTTTACTGTGCAAAGAGGACTATACTAAAAGTCCAACTTACCATTAATTGATCTTGAACAAATTATTAAATCTCTTAGCTTCTGTTACTTTATGTGAAAAATTAGACACTATTATTTTCCTCATATACTGCTTAAAAAGATTAAATGAAGAAAACTAGAGTAGTTTTCTCTTTATAAAAATAATTTAATACATGTTAATTATTGTTCTGAAGATTACTGTTAAATTTTAATGTTCAGTTCACTGAAGCAAACAATGGCCTAGCATCTGAAATATGTTCAAAGCCACTCTTACTCTCCTCTTGACTCCCCATGCTAAGCCTCAAACTAAAGTGTGGCACCTTTGACTTTCCCATTTCTGCTTTTACTCATTCAACTCTTACCACGTCCCTGAATTTCACTGCCTTCAACAGCTTCTCTGTCTTCTGCACAGTCACCCTGCTGCTGCCTTACTGGAGGCTTTCACGTCCTGCCTGTCTTCCCTTCTGGAGATCCTCACCTCAATCTGTATTTCTCTACAGTAAATCACTGCCAGGATTATTTTCTAGTGGGAGGAAAAACTGATTATGCTAAAGTGTAACTGAACTTACACTGGTGCAATATAAGCTTCTTTGTCATCAGACATCAGGCTTCTCTTCCTCCCAATCCCACTACTTTGTATCTAACCCACAATAAATTTATCTTCATTTTCTGTTGTATACATTCTAGGCCAGTGGTGTTGAATCTATGGCATGCGTGACACAGCCAGCTGTTTGTTATCACTCAAAGTTCTAGAAGGTTCACCATCACTGTACACGGTGTCCTTTTCACTAGACTGTTCTCCTTTTTCTACCACGTACAAAACTCCTACGTAACGATCAAGATTCAGTTCTGTGCTTCTCCCTTAAGAATCTCCCAACAATTCTAGACATACCACTTTGTGTATTTCTGATACTGGTTCTTACTCTAGAATATAAAAAGGATTTTATATGTCTCTTACAAGATGAGCTTCTTGTATAAACATGTCTTAAACAAATCTTATAAACATGTCTTGCTGTGTTTCCCTCAAAATCTGATATTCTATAAAAACATAATATGGAAAAAAAACTCCACGAAGAAACACTAAAGTAATCTTTAGGAAGTTTTATCTAATTTCCCATGTAAAATAACTAAGTGTGGCTGTTTTATTATCAACAAATGAAAAAAAAAGTTCCATTTTTCTAACGTTTCAGGGGAATCACCAAATTGCACTTATATTTAAAATCAGCTTCACTACAGTGTTTCCATAGCCCAAGAGTTATTTGTATTCAAGTTAAAATTTTTAACATATTCAATGTTTATTGCTATATCCTTAAATAAAACTGCATTTTTAAAAACGTGAAATACATGACTTAAATGTTGCTTTATAGGGAGCATTTTTAGCTTCTGAAACTGGTCAAAATAACAAAGCCACTACTGGGGCTGGGGATGTACCTCTGTGGTACAGTATGTGCCTAGCATGGGTGAGGTTCTAGGTTTGATCTCCAGAACCACAATAAAAATATAATACAACCCTCAATGGATATAAAACAGCAAACAATTTATGTTTAAAAATGCACTGAAATGCAACAAAATCAGCAGTGAGAAAAACAGTAAGATCCTAATATTTTACTATTTCCAATCAAAAATGTTAAAGAGCTGTACACTAAAGTTAGTTTAAAACTGGTAATTTCTACTGAAAGTACATTTCACTAGTGGATCTACTTAGATCTATTTTAAAGTATACTTTATCCATATAATAAACCTATACAAATTCAAAAAATATATACAGTACTGTACTGTGAACATATTTGTCCTTACTTTTTAACAGGAAATAAATGACAACTTAGCAGTTCACGACATAGAACTGATGTCAGTAGTTAACTGAAAGTGAAATCCAAAGTATTTTTAAGTGGGGTCTATGAGATAACGACATGAAGGCTAGCTGATACAAGGAACATCAACAATGTACTCAGATATCAGAGTTACACGAACTAAAGCAAACTGTTTATAAAGTAACTTTTAAAAGTCTGTAATAAGAGCAACATTTCAACATATAGCGAAAACATATAGTTGAGAAAGAAACAACCAACCACTAGGTACAAAAATGGACCTTGTTTAAGCTGGGTGTGGTGGCAAACAGTACTCAGGATGCAGAGATAGGTGGACCTCTGTGAGTCCGAGGCCAGCCTGAGCTACACAGTAAGCCCAAAGCCAGCGTGAACTACACAGAGAGACCCTGTCTCAAAAAAAAAAAAAAAAAAAAAAAGAACACTGTGGCACATCAACTATACAACATTCATAAAGTTAAGTCTTTGTTTTCTGCAGTAATAATATTTCATCATGATCTATGTAGCCATTCCTTACCCACCGAAATGGGTACTGCAGTATGATGAACTCTAAATATATAACAAAATATCTGATTTCAATTTAAGAACACTTTTGATTTATCAATAAATACTACATAGGATAAAGAAGAAGATGGAATTCAGTACACTTTGAATCTTAAGGGAACAAATCTAGTGTATAAATATCACTCTAATTCCTACCCTAGCAAAGTTAACAGAGTCAATCTTTAGCCTAAGTCTGAAAAGCCTGCCCAAAGACAAACACATACTGTGTACGTTCAACTTACTAGTAAACATTCTCTTCTGTAATGTGATATCAACTCTTCATCATGTCCTCTGTATGGGCCCTTGGACAAGAGCTCTTTGTTATTCTGATAAGCACAGATAAGGAACAGCAAGGAATCTATGTAACTTAAAAAATAAAAACAAACATATTAGAATTCATTTTTGTTAAAAAAACACAAACCTATAATTATAAAACGTTTTAAATATACACTTAACTTTTTACTATCTAAAACACTGTGATAAACATGTGATAAAAACGTGCCCACCCAAGAGCACTGTTTTAGCAACACCAACACCTGAAACCAGCACATGGCTGTCTGAAAAGACTCATGTGAAAGCCACCAATCTATCTACTTAGTAATACCGTTTCATTTTTACATGAAATAAGGATCAAATTCCATTGTCTTATGACCACAAATACCATTTGGTTTATGTAGTATAATTTCCGGTCAGGGATTGTGATTTCACCTGACTTGTCCTTGTTGCCCAGGATTGCTTTTGCTATTCTGGGTCTCTTCTGGTTCCAGATGAATTTAAGGCATATTTTCTCAAGATCTGTGAGGTATGCTAATGGTGGTTGAATGGGAATTGCATTGAATCTGTAGAGCAGTTTTGGAAGTATGGCCATTTTCACAATGTTGGTTCTTCCTATCCATGAGCAAGAAATAGTTTTCCATTCATTGAAATCTTCTTCGATCTCTTTTTTCAGAGAGGCTTTTATAGGTAAATGGTCACAACTAGAGACCATACTCATAAGTGAAATAAATCAAACATACAGGTGCAAGCACCGCATTCTTTCACTAGTGTAAGACCTGAAAGAGTTAGTTTAAACTAGGAGATAAGATAGACATTGTGAATTGATAGGAAAGCACTCAAAGGTAAAGGGCAACTGGGATGTGGGAAAAGAGAAGGGAAAGAAGGAGAAAGTTTGTAAGTATGTATATGCAGGATAGTCAACATGGCTGTTCTACTGTTTTGTATTTCTTTGCTGAAAGAAACTGTCAATGAGTCCTTGGTTGATCAGCATTGAATGTCTATATCTGTTTTCATGAGAAACCACTCTGAAGATATCAATATGTAATACAACAAGCATTGCTAATTCCCTACCACTTTGTTTGTAACTCCGTACTGTCTGTACTGTTCCTTTGCTATTTTGTAAAATGTTGTCTGTTTATGTTTTCCTTTTACTTTTAAAATAAAATAAAAAAAAAGAAAGGGAGAAAATGTACAATAGCATATTATGTTTTTATTTAAAATTATTATCCTTCTCTGAGCATGTTAGAGGAAAAAATATAGTCATATCTCTATATAACTGAGACATAAAAAGTATCTTAAAATATCACCTTTGTAGCATTTTTCCAATCATTACTGTAACTTCTCTTACATTAATGTAGAAAAATATGGCATCTTAAAAGAAAATAAATGATCACATACTTTACATTCTTGGTTATGCTACCAGTAAGTGTTTTTGTGCACAGATGTAAAATGAATCCATTTCATTCCCCAGCTATAAAATAATTTTAAATGTAAAGTTAGGAAGAAAATAACACACAAATTCATGAAAATCAGATTATATATCTGAAATAATCATGAGTTTATTTTTAGAAAATGTATTTTTTCCAGGAGTTTGATTGAGAATCTTGAGTAAAAATTTTATTTTTAAGTATTTAATAAACAGCCTCAATTTGAGATTTTCTTTATGAAAAAATAGAGTCATAATATTGTTACCATATACCATTAAATTGTGATAGTTATTTAATAAATAACTGGCACCCTTTTCTTTTCTAGGTACTAACTTTTAAATCAAGAAAGATATCTCCTAAATGACATTCATATTTAGTTTTATATACTCGCATCATCTCTCAGAGAATACCTCTAAAACTGTTATATTGGTCCAAGTCTCCATTAAGTACACTAAATTTCATGGTTATCAACCTTAAAAGTACTTACAAATAAATAAAATTCAGAATAAGATTCATCAGTCCAGTTACCACATTCTTATTTCAGATGAAATAAGACCACATAGTCTGGCAAACACTCTTTATTTTCCACTTATACTACTATGAAATTATGGATCCTAAAATATTTACTTTACCACCTACAGAACTGATAAGAACTCATCAGTAAATACTCCACTCAAGGCTTTTACTTGTTATGTTTGCATTAAAAAATGTTACGGCTTATATCTAGTTGTCTCCCCAAAGCCTCATGTGGTCTTAGGTGGGGCTTTTTCAAAGATGTCTGGATCTAGAGTGAGTGATTCTAGAACTAATTCATGGTACAATGCTGGACTTAAGGGCACTAGGATTAAGAGTGTGAGTGCTACCCACTCTAAGAAGTCTAGCTAAAATAGACAGGCCAAAAAGATGCTGGTAAAGCCCCTTTTTGCTTTACTATAGTCTGCCTGCCATAAACTGTTCTCTTCTGCCATACCATCCTGCCTCGGAGCCAGCTGATTACGGACCAAAACCTCTACAAACTGTGAGCTAAATATACCTTTCCTCCCATAACTTTGGGCATTGGATATTGTGTTTCAGCAACAAGAAAAGGAAGATAAAAAATATGTCTGGCACCATCATTTGGTATATTTGACACACACTACTACTTTTAGTTTATCTAAAAGACTGAAATGTCTTTTCGATTTCACTGTATTAAATTGTAAGATCAAATTAGTATTTTCCTGACGTAAGTACCAATCTCAGAAATCCTGAAAATGAATTGGAATATTCTTATTTAAAAAGATAAAATAATAACTACATACTCAATGAAGCTATTCATCAAAATACTCTTCAATTTCAATGATAAAAGTAAATCATCCCGTAACACAATGACCAGGACTTTAATAATGTGAATCTAAGTATATAAACACAATGTGAAGTAAAACTTATTTTCTGTTTGTGTTATACTTAACATTTAAATTATAAAATTTAATTATAAAAATGTGCTTTAGCCAGGCGAGGTGGTACACACCTGTTATCCCAGCACTTGGGAGGCTGAGATAGGAGGATTGGTGTGAGTTCAAGGCCAGCCTGAACTGCATAGTAGAACTGTGTCTCAAAAAGACAACAACAAAACAACAATTATATATGAAAACTGTGCTCTAGAACAGCACTAACAGAACTTTCTGTGATGAGGGAAACACTGTTATCTGAGTAGTCAATACTAGTGCCCCCACTCGGGCACTAGTCATATATGGCTGCTTAACAGTACAAATATGGTCAGTCTGACTGAGAACCAAATTTTTATTTTAGCAGTTATAATCATTAATTTAAATATAAATTGTCATATATTGTTGCTGGAGATCATGTTCAACAGCTACAGAAAAAAATGTCTATCTTTGTCAATAAAAAATCACTACCTCAGTGTTGGACTATGACTTTTTGTTAGAAAAAAAGTCAGTATTCTTTTTACTTGGCTGCAGTAAGACACTATTGAAATAAAGCAGTTTCTAAAAAATATTAGCTAAATAAATTAATGTTAAGGATATAAATTTAGAAATACAGTATGCTGAGAAATAAGTAATGTAAACTAGTAAATAATCAAAAATAGTAAGTAAACCAAAACCTATTCTTTTTCATTATTAAAATAATAGTATTATAGCCACTAAGCAGAAATCCCTTTAAGACTATCTTTAATTTCAATAAAAATTAAAAGGAACTATTCTACACTTTTTGTGGAAACACAGACTAGTACCACAACTATGGAAATCAGTGTGGAGATTCATCAAAAAATGGAAGAAAAATTCCATGGACCCAGCTACTCCCCTTCCAGATTTTTCTCAAAGAGTTACAGACATGTATATGTACAGACATGTACACAGGAATGTAAATGTTATGTGTTGCCAACATGGACTAATAAAAATATAGTGATCAATCAATCAATCATGTTGGCTGTATTTACACATTTCCTACAGATATATGGTCTACATTATTTGTCGAGTTCAAAATAAAAAATAAATGCCCTGTAACTGTTTTGGAGGGAAGAGGCCGTGAGTTGCAGCCATTGAGATATTAGAAACACTCTATCTAAGTTAAACTGAAATGTGAAATCAACACAAAAAGGATTGGTAGGTCCAGGCAGATATTTGGAAGTATAAACAGTTCCACATGCTTCACTACCTGCTCTGTTGGTCCCCAGCAAACTCTCTACAGAGAACATTTGGCTGCTGGCTTCAATCTAATTCATGGCATCCTAAATATCAACTATCATATCTGAGAGCTTATAGAAACAAAAACATTAATGTCACCTCACATAGAAAGATAAGAAACATATTTTAGGTGGGTACATGGGAACTCTCTTACTAAATCTGTCATTTTCCGTACTCTAAAATTACGCCAAAATAAAAAACTTATTAAAAATGTATACTGTGAATAAAATATTTTCTATTAGATGAGGTCATTACTGAAGTGAAATTGAAAAATAAACTTTTTTTTCACATCTGTTCATGTTTTACCTTTCTCTCTGAAAATTTTCTAGTCCAATTATGAGATACATAGTTGTTTCTCTGAACTTCTTATAATCCTGATGCCATTCCTGTACGAGAAAAATATGAAAAACGTAAGATTTAAAATCACAATGAAATTGTTCAACAAGTGACACATTATTCTAATACTTCAAATTAAGGTAAACAAATAATGCAAAATTAAGATAAACAGATCTAAATTAGACTTTATGATCAATAAGATTACTTATAATAATATGAAAATTATTCAGTGTTGATGAGGGCTTAATAAAAATCTCAAAAGACAAAAAATACAAATGGAGAACAAAAAAATTGTTTCTCTTGCCAAAGTTGTTCAGTATAAAATCACATTATTAGAATATTAGTACAGTAATACTTATCCAACACAATTGGGATCAGATATGTTGCCAATTTCTGGGTTTTGTGATTTGAGACTATTTACATTGACTTTACCAGCTGAACATACCTAGTCCAAAAATTCATATTGTGAAATGCTCAAAAATCCAAACCACTTTACATACCATTCTGGCACTCAAAAGGTTTTGAATGTGCAAGCATTTCAGAAAAGGTATCTCTAACACTGAAGATAGGAGGTATATGATTTATTACTTTAATTGTATCAAAGTTTGAACATGGTTATCTGTCACAGAATTTAAGGGAGCAAAAAGAAAAATGTCATGCATCTACATAGTCTTGCCAAATTTGCGGTAAATCTCCCTTTCAGTGTTGTAGCAAGAAGTCTCACCTGAGACTCAATGAAAGGATGGCTGCAGCTCACAGTTCACCACCCGACCCCACCAAAATATAATAGGCCATGTGTTACTGTAGATGATTCTGAGCTGATCCCAAAAGTAACTTGTTTATTAATTTACTCAACAAAAATCCAATAGAGCATCAATTTCAAAGAGAATGTAAAAAACGTTGAAGTTTTTATACAGACATCACTGTACATAAAAAAATAAGAAACGTAGACAAGCTATTAGCTAACTGCCTTCTCCTTGAATATAAACTACTAATTTTTAAACTTAATTTTTCAAGGCATAATTTTCACACTACTAAACCTTAGTAAAACGAAGACAAAGTTAATTGTGAAAGCCTAAATTTAACTGTTCTGGGAAAGGTACTCAAAGGGTCATTCTGTATTGTCATTAGAATAGCCTTGGAAATTCTAGTTAGACCAACTTTTTCTTGCAAAGGGATGGGAGTAAATGTTTTAAGCTTTGCAGATCATGCAGTCTCTGCTGCAGTCAACAACTCAGTAACTAGTATGAAGACAGCCGTGAGTAATATGAAAACAAGTGGCTGTGTTCCCGAAGATTTTATTTACAAAATCATGTGGTAAGCTGAATTTGGTGTGGAGGACAAATTTGCTGATTGCTGAGCTTAGAGCAAGAGAAATATCTGAGAAATGTGCAAAAATGGAAAAAAAAAAAAAAGCATGTCATTTAAATACCTGTACAACTGAATGGCTCATCAGGTAAGAGAATATGAGGTTTCAGAATAAAAATACCCTGAACACAATCTGTTGAAACAACCTGGTAAAGGACCTGTAGAATCACATGTTAATAAAAAAGTCCCTTAAATCTTAGGAATAAGGTCACATAGGAATCAATTTTAAGGTCACAGATTCAGAACAATTATCAGTAAAAGATGACTATATATTTGCTTCTCATAGTCACAAAGAAACAAAGTATCTATTGCTTCAGATAGCATGTTGACCAAAAATCTCTGGTTAATGTTTCCTTAACTTATAGACATTTATGTACTCTCTCCATGTTAATTTCTAGAAAGCTTTACACAGAAGCCTTTTAAAACTGAAATATATTCAGTATATGAAATGAAGCTTAATTATGTTGACTTGATTGGTTTAGGAGGCACCTAGAGGGTTAGTAAAGCACATTTCTGGGTGTGCCTTGGTGGGTCCTGCAAGGTTGACCTTGGGTACTATATCTGGTCCCTCACCTCTTCTAGTCTAGAGCTGCCTCTTTGCTCTGCTTCCAGGAGATGATGAGCTAAGCAACTTCGCTCCATCATACCCTTCTTCTAATGTCCCTATTTTGAAGCCAGCCAAATAAACTATACTTGGCTCCTTTAAGTTGTGGGTTTCAAATATTTGGTTCCAGCAAATGGAATTGTAATAGAGGAAACTAGTGTCACTACTGTGATTATGAAAAGTCTTCAAATCTGGTTTGTGAGAAGTTTACAAAGGTTTGGAGATGTGGCATAGATAAGCCTCAGCAGGCTGCAAAGAGAGCTTGGTGGGTGACTCTATTCAGACTTGAAAAGATCAGAAAGTTAATAGCAATGTAGATAGTAAAAGGTCAGGCTTGAAAGCACTCAGTCAGAAGAAGGGCTCCTTTGGCAACTGGAAAGGAGTTACATGCATCACATTCTGGAAAAAAAGTCTGTATTTTATTAAGGTCCTGAGACTTTGTGTAAGACTGAGATTAATGGCAGTGGATTGACTGATCTAGTGCAGAAAATTTTCAAGACAGCCCAGTATATAGGCTGTATCATGGGTACCATTGTCTGCATTTAGCCAGATTCATAGCAAAATCCAGGAGGAAAAAGCACAGTAGAAAAATGTGAAAAACTCACATTTTGGCCCAAGGGGAATGACATGTAAAGTTGGAACCAAACAAGTTGTGACTGCTGAGGACATGAGCGCCATTAAAAAGAAATCACATATTTTGTAGGGAGACAAAAAGAAAGATGAATTAAGGCCATCTCAGAAATCAGAAAGATACCATTCTTTGCAGTGCTATCAAGGGTACGTAAGTGTCAACTTTTCATTTCTGAGAAGAGTCCCTGAAACTTCTGCTAGAGAACAGCCTCCTAAGAAACTGGCTCCCCAGGATCCACTTCAACTTTCTCAGCTCTCCAGATACTCATAGGTAACTCATTGTGCCAATGGTTGAGGAAAGCATGGTTATTATTCCACCACACTGTTTCTCTAGAAGCAGAACTTGGCATTATCTATGTGATACTGGTTTTACTGCCATGCACAATGTAAGAGTTGTGAGGTCAGGGAGGCTGTCACTCAAATTTTGAAGGTAGGTCAGGGAGGCCAGTGTCAAGGAGGCTCTGAGAGGGTAGTGTATAAAGATGTGGGAATGAAGAAGGTGGTCCAGTAGAATCTTCAGAAAAAAGGAAATGCCAGGAGCATAAACTAACTCCTCAGGAAAGCTGCAGGCTGTAGGTAGAGCCAGTCCGAAAAAGAGAACATGTAAACTGCAGGCAGCAAGGCTACAGGGGCAGGGCCACCCAAGTCCTACGGAACTCACATGCCATCATATGCCCCAGATGCCAGATATGGAACTATAGAACTTAATGCTGGCTCTCCTGTGCTTTGGTTTTGCTTTGGTCCAATTCTTTTCAACCCTACATCCTTCCCTTTTGGAATGGGAATGTTTACCCTGTGCCATTACACTTTGGAATTATGCAACTTGTTTTTGATTTTTACAGAGATTCATAGATTTGCTTTGTCTCAGAAAAGACTTTGACCTGGATTACTGAAAAATGCTTAACTATTAAAACTTTATGCAGAGATTATTGCATTTTCAGTTATATGCAAGATAGCTATATCCTGTTATGCAAAATTATACACTTGTGTGTTTATCTGGAAAGTAAGTATGGTTTAAAAAGATGTCAAATTAGAAAAGGGTGGAATGTGGTGGTCAAGCTTAACTGTGTCAACTTGATTCACTTGGAAACCACCCAGGTAACGATTAAAGCACACTTCTGGAATGTCATGAGGGTCATACAGGCGTGGCTTTAGGGGTATACACAGTCCCTGGCCACATCCACTGTTGGCACTGTTCCCTGCTCTGTTTCTAGGGAACCATGAACTAAGCAGCTGCACTCCACCATGCCCTTGCTCTATGACGTTCCTCCAATAAAGCCAATTTACCACGGACTGAATCCCCGGAAACTGAGCCAAATAAACCTCTCCTCCATCAAGTTGTGGATGTCAGGTAATGGTTGCAGCAATGGAAAAGTTGACTAACACAAAACACGAAGTACAGAAGAAATTCATTTACTTTTTAAAAAATTCCCACAGCCACTCATTAAAAAACATTTCCATGGTTCACTGATTCAGCTGGCATCTCTGGCACATTTATGTCTCTATATAGGTGAATCCTAGATTCACTATTCTATTCTATTGTCCTGATATACTTATTTCTATGATAGTATTACAAAGCTCTAAAAATAAAAACAGTATATCTTGATGTCTAGTAGCATAAGCCTTTCTACCCTCTTCTTGAGAATATCTCAGGTAGATTAATATCCTTGCATTACAATGAACTTTCCAGCAAGATTATCAAGCTCCATAAAACAACCTGCCAGAATTTTCATAAGGATCATACTAAATCAACAAACCTCCAGCAAAAATTGGCATCTTTATAATTTCAAATTTTTCAAATATCACATGCACAGGCTTTTTTTATGTGTTCTCTAATGTTTCTCATTAAGTTTTCTTATTTTCTAGACAGATGCAATACACATATTTTGTTAAGTTGGAGGTACTCCATCGTTTCAAATGCTACTGTAAGTACAGTCATTTCTGTAACTTTCTTTTTCTAATTATTGGTTACTGGCACCCCAAAATAAAATTAATATTTGACACAGATTTGTAGGATACAAAGCTTTTAAATTTACAAATATCTGTAGGTTTTGCTTTAATTTCTGTTTTTAAAAATCTGAGACAATGACTTATTTTCCTAATCTTTTACTTTCTGCTAAATTTTGTTGCCTTATTATCTATTTTATCATGAAACTAAAGCTTTTAATACTACATATTTGCTGTAGTTTAGTTGTTTTATATTTTTGTTTATAGAGACACTTTTTGATGAAGTCCTTGCCTTATATTTCAGATTATCTAAGAGTTTTCATTAAAATTAGTGTTTTTCTGTATTCTCCCTCTTATTTGTTAATATGGAGAATTACAATCATTATTTAAAGAATCAAGTTTTTAAATGTTGTCAAATAATAATCAAAGGCACATGGAAAAGCAATTTAAAATTTACTGCATTTATAAATAAAAAGACAAAACATACAATGTTAAATTTAAAAGCTTAAAGAAAACACTTAGTGCTTAAATTGGTCCATTAAAATAAAAAACACAGCATGCTTTCAGAGCACAGTCGCTATGAATGCAGGTTCTGTTAGCCACACTGTAAACTTCTACCTAGAAAAACCTTAGGCAGGTTCCTTCACCTCACCATGGTCCATGTTCTTGTGTGTAAAACAGGAGTAAGAACACCACATGCCTCATCCTGTTACTTGTCTGTATGAAGCTGCCTAATACAGGTAATTTGTTACATTGTTTTCAAGCTAGAAAAGTGCAAAAAGCAGGTGATAGTAGTGTTAGAATCTAAAAAATTCCACACCGAAATAAAAACCAAAATTTTCCTTTTGGTTTTAAACTTTTTGGGATATATGATTTTATATCAAACCAACCCCAAAATTATTTATGAAAGTATTAACTTGATCACTGACATGGAAATGTTTTTCTCTAACATCTAGAACAAATCTGAACTGAGCTGGGCTGAAGTAGAAGGAGTACCAGAGATCTGCAGGATAGTTTAGTATTCAGCCTCTCAATAAACCACATTACCTCATATTCCTCTAAGTTTACTTCGTCGGGTTTTATCATTTCCAGTTTGGCTTGAGCAACTTTCATTATGTTGTGACACCTTCAAATAAGAAAAAAATATATACTAAATCAAATGCAAAATTCATCAAAAGTGAAAAATGTGTGTTATAGAAAACAATCAGACATGTACAAAAAGGAAGTCCACTCTCACTGAATATGCCTACAGAAATAACAATCTTACATGAATAATGTGGTTCCTGAACCAATGTTGGACAGTTACAAAGAAGACAGCTTAAATAATTTTGATTCAAATTCATATTTATAATTGGCTTTTAAATTAGACTCTGTGTAAACTGGCTTTTAAATTAAACACAGTGTAGATACATAGGGAACAATAAAACCTGCTTTTATAATGTTTATTGTTGTATGTTGAAAATCAAACCAAGGGCCTCTAGCACATTAGGCAAGTACAGTACTACTGAGCAACATCTCCAGGTTTTGGTTTTTTGGGTTTCTTTGGTAAGATAGGGTCTCACTAAATTGTCCATGCTAGCCTCAAATTTCAGATCCTCCTGCTTCAGCTTCATGAGTAGGATTACAAGTGTGCACAAATGTACACAAGGTATAATATAAAATGACAATAGACGTTTAAATTTTAAAAATGTATTACAATTGCTATTAATCTCCTTTGAAATCTTCTCCCTCAGAGCACACTTATCACACTGTTCTTGCCATTTTCTGCAAAGTTTTAGAAGTCCTCTTTCATCTTTTCAGCTGTGCTATTGTAGCTGCCTTGACAGCCTGAATCCATTCAAAATGTTGACATTTTATGGTCACTTTAACTTTGAGGAAGAGCCAGAAATGCAAGGTGCCAGATGTGATGAGTAAGGTGGAGGAGAACACCAGTGACTTTTCACGAGCCTGCCTTTTGACAGATGGTACTCAGCAGCACTCCTCACAGTTGGTCATACTTCATAAAAACGCTGCTGACAGAGCAGCTGCAGAACTGCCTCCGAGAGTGGTACAAACACTGGGATACCGTACTCTATGCTCAAACTAGGGGGATTTTTTGAGCAGGATGAATGGCAATGTGACTTTTATTGTCATAAATCTTTTGAATTTCAGCACTCAGGGTATATTTTGATCATATATCTATTAAGCAAGTAAAAAGATATTACACTTTCTTTTTATCCCCAAGTAGCAGTATTCTTAAACAGGAAAAAGGAATATAAAATGTACCTATCATTTCAGGTTAAGAACAAAAATACTTTAATTGACTGTATGATCAGAATCACTGCCAAAGAAATCCCCACAAAATACAGTTAGTTCATTTCAAGGATAAGAAAGATCAAATTATCAGCACCTACTTGTCGGAGAACAAATTAATTGAAAACTCGGTCAGGGATGGTAGTACACACCTGCAATTCCAGTGTGGTGGGAGGCTCAGCAGGAAGATCGCAAGGTCAAGTCAGGCCTGGGCAGTTTAACGACTTAGTGAGACCCTGTTTTGTTTCTTTTCAGATTCTCTTTTTTTACACATTTTTTATTCAATATTTTTGACATTCATAAAAGGATAATTATTTATTTCAGAATTAAAATATAATTAGAATGAACTCCAAATCAGATGACTGTTTCTGTAAACTAAAATTAACTTATAATACCTTGGACTTTTACCTAGGGTCTAAATTTTTCTTAATGTCTTTCATTCTAAAATAATTTTAAACAGGAGTTTCATATGCATTTTCTAAAAGAAAATGGTTTTAGATTAAACAAGTTGACTTTTCTAAGCGTTCTATGTCAAAAAATGCTTAACTATTTTACTTGAATAAATGACAAAACTTTTTTCCAGTGATTCTCAAAGAATGGCAACTTTGCTCGCATGGAGCTATTTGAGAACACTGGGAGATGTTTTTAGTTGATGCAACTCGGGGTCCTACTGACACCTAGCAGGTAAAGACCAGGAATGTCGTTAAGCAGCCTAGACATCACAGGATAGCCCAGAACAATAAAATTACGTCACCTAAAATTTCCCTAGCATGGAGCTTGAGAAATCATACTTTTCTCTAAAATACTCAATCCCATAAGGATTCATAATTAAAATACAATAGAATTACAAATTAATTTTACTTCAAACTTTTAAAAGGCCAGTTACAGGCTTTAGAGAAATTACAAATCAATTTTGCAAATTAACTGATTAAATTTTGTTTTATATTTGATAAAATGTGTTCATGCATGTATAAAATAAAGGAACAAAAATTACTCTGGGGAGCTGTAAAAAACAAGGACAATTTGAGCATATATATTAGTTATTTCACATTTTCGTATTACCTTTCATCAAAACTCAAATTTCTATCACCAAATTGTTCTAGTAATGTTTTCTCAATGATTTTCTTTGGGGCCTGGTTTTGGATAAAGTAGACCACTACATGATGTAAACGATAATCTGTTTCTGGTGGGGTATCTTCTTGGGCCAACTTAACCAACCTTGAATACTCCAATTTAATTGCCTAGAAATGCAACAAAAAGGACAATTTTCATCAACTATAACAATTAAAATACTTTAATATTACAAGTTTAATTATTTTTGCATACAAATGTGTTTCTTTCCCTTTTAGTACAGTACAAATAAGTCAATGCACCTAAAAGCATCACGCTATGTTCCATGCATTCACAGAATTTTCTAAGTGGACAGCCCATTCCTTATCACTGTATAAACTCCCTTTTAGTTCCCACACCAGAAGAGATAAAGTAATACAATTAAAGTTTATCATGTGGCAAATCTCGTGAAATTTAACAAAGCCTGTTCAATGTCTAATCAGAGGCATCATGAGATGGACAAGCTAAGTGTTCTTATATTATTTTACCTATCCAGCATCAGTTTGTATTCCCAGATCCTAGAACTGATACACAGCTCCCTAAAATACCCCTATCTCAAGAAAATGGCTGATGCATACATGCACAGTAGAACTACTACAAGTGACTTAGCTCACCAATACACAAGTAAGGGACAAATAAGAGACTGAGGGTCTAGTTATCACACGTGAACTCCTCATTGTCACAGTAGTATTTGAATTTTAATTTGATTTTATTTGAATCGGTACAATAATGATTATATACTATTACCAATTTTATCTTGATGCTTGTTTTTCCTTTACAAACATAAATGCCTCAGAATTCATACTGTGAAATAGTAAATCTTAATACATTTCTATATATGAGCAAAATCTGAATAATATTTGACTATGTATGGATATATACTTTATAGCAAATAATGCTGTATACATGAAGTTCATATGATAAAGATAACATTTTTAAACGTATATTTAGATTAGCTTTTATCTAAACTTTAGCACCATTAGCCATAAAATACTTGGTGCTCCATGCAAGACATACAGTATTTTGAAAAATCCACTGTCTTAGAATTTTTTTAAAACAGGCTAGGGATTAAACCCCGGGCTTCACACATGCAAGACGGCTTTCTGCCCCAGTACTAGAGATCGAGCCCAGGTCTTTGCTTATTTTTAATTTTGAGACAGGTATCATTAAAAATACCCCTTATTTTTAATTTTGAGACAGGTATCATTAAGTCCCTAAGCTATCCAGGCAGGATTTGAATGTGTGATTGTCCCTCAGGCTCCCAGAGTGCTGTGATTACTGACTTGCACCCCCAATCTATCACTAAATTACATCCCAATCCCACAGATGTTTTGTTTTTTAAAATGCATGCCTTCCTTACATAATTTTAATGGGTGTATTTCCCTGAAGGGAGAAAAAGTAACAATAAATATAAAATATTGCAGTTATGGTGTGTCATATTTCATTAAAGGGAAGGTTATAATTCCTTTTATTTTGTGAGAATTATGAACAGAATAAAGTAATCATTTTTCATAGCTAAAATAAGTTACTCTTAAATAAATTTCCCAGGGGGAGGGGAGAAGATTGGTCCCCCTCCCCAAGACACACATACATACCATCCCAAAATCTTATTGGTATAGTTTTAAAAAACGCCATGAAGAGCCAGAACTGGCAGTGCAGGTCAAAATCACAGCATTCTGGTAGGCTAAGGCAAGATCACAAGTTCAAGTACTGCCTGGACAACTTAGTGAGAGCAGTCTCAAAATTAAAAATGAAGGGTGGAGGATGTAGCTCTGAGCTCAATCTCCAGTACTCATGGAAAAAAAAAAACCATAAAAATCAAGTGTAGTTTGGTATATAAGATTATCGAGGTTCACTGTATCCCTAATTACCACACATAAGCTTTAAACTTCTAAAACTCTTATTCTGCCAATTTTGGAGGGAGTGCATGTTCACAACGAAAGCATACTGAAATCTCTTAAAAAAGCAAAAGTAAAAATCAGTAACTGTCCATTGTTTACATGGTCCTCGGATAATGGCTGTTATAGACTAGATGAAAGCTTTTAGAAAAACAAATATTTCAGGTAACATGAGTTCAACGAGAATTAGTATGACAAAAATTTAAAAAAAATCTATATTGAATTGCTTAAAATAATATTGGTTTATATATAAGGAGTTACCAGACAGAAGCCGTGAATTTTTTGCAACTACCAGATTTCTGTGAGTGATAGGAAATACATAATCTCCTCTACTTTATATGTTTATCTTTTGATTTTGTTCAATATGTAATTTTTCTAACTTTCACAACAAAGTTATAGTTCTTTTCAACCTATGGGTCTCTGAACCAGTAAGACAGGAAGGCATGTCTAAATTTTTAGGTGTTATGTTTTAAACACTCAAACACTCAAACACACACACACACACACACACACACACACACACACATTTTGTCAGCAGAAAAGTGCTTCTAACTATTTCTCAACTTTTTATCAATTTCTTTCTTTAAAAAATTATGACTTTTAAAATATTTGGAATGTCTATTCAAATTTTCAACAGATGTTCCATGCTTTTATATTCAGCAGAATCTAAACAATCTGCCATTATGAACATCATATTAAATGGCTTTATTTTACTCTCTATCAGACTCTAGAATTAATTTCCTCATATATTTTGCTTGCCTGTGATAATTACTTTAAGGTAATTACTGCAGATGATGCATATTTACAACATGATATACTAATTATTACATAATGGAATTGCTGTGGACTTTATTTTTAAACTTTTTCACTAGACTTTAATCAAGTCCAATTTACCTATTAAATCTTATTTTCTATTACTCTTTTACACTTAACGTAGTTCAGGATTGTCTTCCTACAAATGCACCCAAAGCTATGTCTTGGCTCTTTCTTTTTTATCTGTTTGTCAACCATATACAGGTGATCCATTCCTCAGGACAACTTGAAATCACCTCAATGAAACCTTCAATCCCAAAGATCTAAATGATTTCCTAAAGTTGTCTAGTGTTCTAAATTATACTATAAATTGTGTTCTGAATTTATTTCTTACAGACTTTATTATAGTGCAAACACACTTAAAACATTAAAGGTTATCAAATGTATAAACAAAATAATTCTGGGAGCAGTAAGATCTAATAGGTAATTAACTAGATTAAGGTTCAGAAAGCTAGGTATACCATTTAATAATTGTGGCACAAAACAAGGCATTTTTGCTCTAAGATAACACTGTTACTTCCAAAATATTGAAGTATGCATGTATTGTATCACATCATGGATTACTTTTTTAAAATTTAGACTACACTAAGAAATGAAAAAACCTAACTCCAAATTCCAGAGGATTAAAATCAGAGGCCATATTCTATAACTATAATACAATACAATCAGAAATGTGAATAAACTACAAATAAATAAATATTTAAGAGATTTAAAAACACAATTATTTTGCAAAGGAATAAAAATTATATTTATATTGGGAATATGTGATATCAAAACCTAAAGGACTAGTAGTCGAAGTAAAACTCCAACTTGAACAAAATAGATTAATTCCAAGAATTTAAAAAAGACACAAAATAAACAGAAATAAAGGAGAAATAATGTAACAGTTCAATAGTTGAATTATTTCTCTTTCTAAAAAGTTGGATGAAAGACCAAAAAAGAAAATTCAACACTAGATAGAAGAAAGGTTATAATATAAACCTCTAGAAAAAGATTCTGAATGTACTAAATGTCAACATAAATTTTGTTTATAAACTAGTATCATGCTTAAAAAAGATGATAATTAAGAAAAATATAAATTGCTAAAATTGCTTTGAAGAGGTTGAAAAACTGAAGAAAGCTAGCAAAACTACAGAATAAAGTTTGCCCTAGATTTGTACCCGGTAAAGAAACCAGGCCCACCTTGTTTTAGAACTGTACTGTTCCTTCAAATTTTCAATGACTACAGTATCTAAACTGCCCTGGAGACTTGGGGAAGAGAGGAGAGGAGAAAGCTACTTTCATGATTATACAATGCTAATTTAATAAGAATATTAAATGTTTATAAAATTTTAAAAATATAAATTTTGCCTATGTACTTAGACACCAATAATAAAACCTATTTTTGATAAATAATCTGTAATGTGTTTTAAAAAAGAAAGGAATATATGGGACCAATGGTGTTCACAATGATGAAGGAAGAGACCAATACAAAATATTCAGAAGGATTAAGTTCTGCAAGGCAACAGATGCATTATACGTTCTCTACTCCACCCTTTCCTCCTTGCTGGAGTACAAACATAAAATGTCTAAAGCTCAATACCACTCAACTTAAAAGAAAAACATAAGACTGTAATAACTCACTGAATGTAATATAAATATGTAAAATTAATTAGTTTTTCTATCACCTATACTTCTAATAACTTGTTAGTAGTATCAGGGGAGGCAGATGACCCAAAGGCAAATAAATAGTAAGATCACTATGAAGTAAAATCATAAACCTTACTAAAGGATGTAACAAACGATGACAGAAATGAAACAGCCTGTCATACTCTTTATGGGAAATAACCAAAATACTAAACAATACAACTTTTTACTTCAATCTAAACTAATGAATACATACAGTGCAAATACAATCAAATGCTGAAAGGATTTTGGGAAGGGAAAGTAGCAACTGACTCTAAAACTCACCTAAGGAGAAAAAAACACACTTAAATTTTTGTCTATAAAAAAATAAAAATTTGTAAGTGTTCTTCCCGCAAAATATAAAAACACTATTATAAATGGTCCATAATGTACTAGGCATACTGTTCAAACATTTAAAAAATAGTTCAGTGGAACAGAGACCTAAGCAGATTCACACATGGTGATTTACTACATGATAAAGGTATTTGAAGATGGTGTGAAAAGAATGTGTAGTCAAAATTTTATGCTTATAATATCTGGAAATTTTTCTATGTGAACAAAACTGAAATTTTATATCTAGTCATGTAACAAAAAGTAAAATCATAAAAGTAGAAGCATTAAAAATTTGTAAAATTTTAGAAGTGGTTATATAGCTTCAAGTCAATAAAAATAACTGTTATATTCCATAAGAGTAAACATTTCATACAAGCCAGATGTGGTGGCACATGCTTGTAATCCAGCACTCTTGAGAAGCTGAGGTAGGAGAACCACAGGTTTGGAGCTCAGCCTAGAAAACCTGGTAATTTAGCAAGACCCTACTACAAAACAAAACACAAGACAAAACAAGTAGGGATGTAGTTCAAAAATCCTTAGTATGACAATTTAAAAAAAAATCTAAGGGAGGGATATAGCACAGCGGCACAAGCGCCTGCCTAGCAAGCGCCAGGTCCTGAGTTTGATTCCCAGTACCAAAAAAAAAAAAAAAAAAAAAAAAAATCTGTATATTAAGGCATGAAGAAAATTTAAGGTATTACAAATGACAAAGTATCATTTGCAAATTATGGATGAATAATTGAACCTACACAAACAAAAAATCCACAATATAAAAAAGGTACAAAGAAGACTGTCAATAAATACCAAATGCCAAAATACTTACGAAAACATACTCTCAGCAAAAATCAAAAAAATATTTTAAAGGAGATTACATTTTTATGCCATTTTGTTTCATAACCAGTAAGAGGAGCAAAACCCAATATAACCACTTAAAGCTTATTTGACAGTCTTTTCACTTAACATCTAAAAGCACTTTGTTACTCTGCTATGTGCACACAACTGTTCAATAATATATGTATATGAATATTCAGGACAAGAATACAAATGACCCATAACCCAGCAACAAAAATAGTAATGGCAAATGTAGTAACTATAGTTAACAATTACCAAGTATTCTTTATGCGACAGACACCATCTGTGAGTTCCATGTGCACTACTGATAGTTAACTGATTGTATCACCTTCAGTAAGAAACACCCAACTAAACTGCATCACTATACTTCTGGGCATGTCTAGGGGATTTACTGAAGACAAAAGATCTACCCTGGCTGTGAGTGGCTTGTCCCCTGAAGCGTATAAAAGGAAAGCAAAGAAGGAAGCCTCGCTTCTGTGTCTTCAGAAGGGCTCCAGTTTCACCTTGGACGTGGTCTCCTGGTTTCCAGTGCAGGCCCTTCAGCCTCCTGATACAGATGCACACAAGATACTCCACTGAGCTCCGGGCCTTTGACCAGGTCTCCTTCAGACCCTCAGTGGGCAGACGGCCCTTCTGGACTTTCCTACACCTGACTCTCCTTATGTATTTGTATATCTTGCATTAAACCTGTTTCTCTAGTAAGCACCAACTGAAACAATTACCTTATTTAATCTCAAGATAACTTCTCCTTTATAAATAAAAACCCTTACTGATAATTTAATACACTGCCTAAGGTCATGAAATTATTAAAACAATCAATAGAATAGAAGCAATCTGTGGAAAGACAATTAAGAAGTGAGAAAAAATACAATCTACTTTCGGTAAATGTATTATTAGCTTAAATGTCATTTTTCTCTGAGAAGCCCTCTGGATACCATTTGTTTTCTCATTTTATATTCTCCTTCCACATGAAATTGCTTCTTCAATCATACCGATAACAAATCTATTTAATGCAGACTTCCCCATTAGGAAATACGTTTCACTAAGGCAGAAACTCAGTCCATAATTATGCAACTACAGCCACTGGATTTAGGACAATGTCTTGTATGTTGTTATATTAACAGTAGAATGGAAAAGCGTTATAATATAGCTGTATCATAAAAGATCACGAGGACAATTACATCTACGTTCAGTCACACAACTACATTTAGATGAAGGGCCAAACATTTCAGATAACAGAAATTTCATCGGTGTAATAGAACCATCTGCTTACCTTGCTCCTTGCCTCAACCTCATGTAGCTTGCAGTCACTACAACCACCCTGGTTTTCTCTAGCTCCATCTGCCATTTAAGCTTCAATCCTTTGGCACTTCCTTTGAGTCTTATATTTTGTGTTTGATCCCCCTGTTTCTGCATGTTAATAACTATGTGTGCTTTTTTGCCCGTTACTCTGTTTAACAGGAGAATTTATTTCACAGACTAAAATTCTCAAATCTTTAGAAGTAAAAGAGAAAATTTAAATACTTCCCTATACACATATGAAACTGTTGATTTTGTAAGTCTGAAATGGTACTGGCAATTTCTAATAGAATGAGCAAAAAACTGGTATATTATAAAATAAAAGTCCTTGACATAATATGGTACACTTGCCTTCTACTTCCTACTGTACTAGAAATGGACATAAAAGGTGAGGACAACAGTACTAATATCAACAATAAATAATGGCTAAATTTAGCATCAACTAGATACTACTTTAATTTTATTAATTTATTTAAAATTGACAACCCAATAAAATAAAGTTATTAGAATCATCTCCATTTCACACGTAAGGAAAGAGATACTGAAAGACTGAGTAATTTGTGCAACATCACAGCCACAAAGCAGTGGGCCAAGCCTCTGACCCGAGGCAGTCTGATTTCTCACATGAAGCTTTAAGTTACTTCCTTTCTACATTCCAGCTGTACTTGTAATACCTCAACAGAAAGAAAGAAGATAAGGGAATAACAGAATAGGAGAGTGGTTAGTGAATTATTTAGAGATACTGAAATAATGATTTTTACTAATATTATTAAAGGGCAAAAGTTTCAAATGCTACACACAGGAGTAAAATTTCAAACTCTATTGAAACCTTTGCAGAGCTACTGAAAATTGTGGATTATTCCATTGCAAGTTGTAATACTGTAACAATCTGTTTAAGAAAATTCCTCTCACCAGTCCCTATCTCACAAACTTGTGCATATGTTCTCTTTATAGACCATGTATTCTTAGTGCACCATCAAAATCAGAAACTAAACAAGAAATGTATGTGATATATAAATACACAATCTAAAAGCTACACAATGAATCCTCAGTGTGATGGTGACCGAAGATCTAACTCAACAGCTATGTCCCAGGAATAAAGGAAAGTCTCCCCAGACTGTAGTCTGTCATACAACACTGAAAAAACTTTCCCAAAATGATAAACTGGTAAACGTAGAAGAAGAAGAGATTTAAGTTAGGCATGGTGGCACATGCCTGTGATCCCAGTACGCAGGAAGCTTAGGCTGGAGGATTGCTGTGACTTCGAGGGCAGCCTGGGCTACACAGTAAGATGGGGGTGAGGGGATGTATTAATACGCACAGAAAACTAAGCAGACCAAAAATGTAACAACTAACTGCAAGGAAAAAAGGAAAGTAATGACTTAACCTAATCTTAAATTTATGACTTAACATAATCTCATACAGCATGTTCAGTAATAATTTTACAAACATAGAATCCTTTCTTGCTTGTTTCCTTCCACTTTTGCTTTCCATTTTTCTTAAACGAGTAGGTTTCCAGCCTTTCTAGTGGGATTGCTATAGGGTGGTCAACTTTTCCTGGGACCAGTTTGCCTAAAATTTTCACAATATTATTTTAAATCCTTTATATCAGAAAACCCCTCAGTCATAGGTGTATTAGAAGATGATCACCCTAATCTTTAAAAAAGTATTTACAGATATAAAGCTGCTAAACACATGACTTTTGTTTTGTGCTATATGCTAAAGAAAACAGTAATGTAGGTAGCTTTTTAAAAGCAAAATTGGATGATAGGAAAGTATTAAAAATTAAAGTAAATTTTTAATGTTAAAAAAGAAAGGTATATTAATTTACTATAGTGATTTACACTTCAACAAAACTTTTTAAAGAAACATTAAAAGGGAGAAGTGGAACCTTTAAGATTTTTGATATATCTAAATAAAATGACAACACACATATAGTCTTTACATCTTTCAAATACATAAAAATTAACATTGTAATCAGAATATTATAAAGCTCTGCTTATTAGAGGAAAGACGACGTGATCACAGAATAACACATCTGCTTGATGGTCATACGTCTTGAATTGAGCAGAACATTAACAATTAATTATTGTGAAAAATAAGTGAATAAGAAACAAGAAATATAAAAAGATGAATTAATAAATCATTTTAAAAACTAAATGAGAAAGCAACTTAGTATCCAATGACAATAAAACTAGGAAAAATATGATACTGACCAACGGTATGAACAGTGGGGAAAATATGCACTATTATGGAAGCAATTACTCTATTCATATTAATACTCTTATTCCCTTCAATGTAAAACACAATTCAGATTTCTGAAGCAGAGTCACACATTATCGTTATAGTAACTCAGGAAAAAATGTTTTGGTTTTCTTGAATTGTCTAGATCAAAAGAAAAAGAATTTTGTATTCGTGCGTGTGTGTGTGTGTGTGTGTGTGTGTGTGTGTAAGAGAAAAGCATCAGGTGGCCATGGCTAAAGTAGAAAAAGAGAAATTATATAGGAAACCAAATTTAATTCAAAGAAATAAAACATTTTAAGAAGTTTAATTTAAAAAAAAATTAAAATACAATGAAAATGTTAATTGTACCTTAAAGAACCCTGCTTCAGGACCACACCTGTCATACACACTCCTGGATTTACCTATCGCAATGATAATACCTTGCATATTCGGTGTCATCATCATCTGCCACAGAGATTGAAAGTAAGAATTTTTGAAAAATTACATTAAAAAAACTAAAACCAAAACAATCTCTTTACATGCAAGTTAAGCTCCTTTGTTCCCCATAATGAGTCAAATGCTGCATTTTTAAAATAGCAAAGGTGATCTGATGCACACTGAAGCATCTCTCAGAATCACCTGTACAGGGGCACAGCTGGCTCCCATGGTGCCTTTGTGCAAACTGCAAAAAGGCATCCGCTCTACACTGGACAATTTCACGAAGTCACCCTCTCCCATATAAGCCAATGCTGCCCTCTTGGTGCACTCTTTAGAAGACAGCAACACTGTTTTTTTTTTTTTCAACAATTAAAAAAGAGGCTTCTTCCCCAAGAATTGTGGAGTTCAGGAAGAGCTCAATTTTAATTCCACTTCTGGATCCCTGCTAAGGAACCGTGCACAACCCTGTACAATCTGCACATCTCTAAGAGCAGGTTTGTATCTATGTGATTTATTTTTACATTTCAAGGCACATGCACTATTAAAATGTCACTTCAATAAATAAAAACAAAACACACAACTCTGCCAGCAACTTAGGTACTTTCACAAAAAGACAGTGTTAAAAAATTAATCACAATTCTTCGTTAAATGACAGGAGGCTCACCCTTGATCAATAATATTCATAGTAAAAACATGCCAGTTCCCAGAGCTGTGAAGAGCCAACAGGGCAATAAAACAGTTAATTGTAACACAGCTGTTAAGTACTAAAGTATCTGTTTTCGGAATAGCTTATTATTCTTAGCTGTTTACACTTTAAAATACCTGCAAAATTAAATAAGACAAGACCTGTAATGTATCTAACATTATCTGCTTTAGGAAATCCAGTCCCAGTTCCTATTTCCCAAATTTATTTATTCATTATATGCCATGTATACTTACACTGGCATAGTGATATTAATGTCTTCATGACACCTCTGATTTTAGTAGTTATTACATAACAGCAACTATACACTGAAGTATGGAAAAAGTATTTCATGTACATAAATTGAGTTCTCATTCACACCCATTACAACTCATAAATGACAGATTACAAAAAGTTTCCTCTCCACTCATCTCATCTCCCTTAATAGTATCATCTTCTTTACTATTACTATTCAGGAAGAGCTTTACTGGACCTCCCTCAAACAGAAAAAAGGAAAATTTTAAGAGTATTAATAAAAATGGAAAGAGGATGAAAATGATCTGGTGGATGAGGACAATAGACCATATTCATCTGAATTCCAAAGAACACTTATCAGAAGAAATAAAAATGCCTCTACACTGCTGGAAAAACTAAGAGATGATAATAAATCAGTGAACAGATAAAGAAGAAATAAAAAGGTGTTGTAGTGTGTGAAACACTGCTAGGCACTCAGTAATTTCAACAAATCATTCCATTCACTGTCACAGAAGTTGTAGGAGGAAAAATATCAATTATCCATCTTTTAATCATGTGGTAGGATTTCCTGATAGCATATAGTGGGCAAAATATAATAAATTACTCAAGAATACAAAAGAAACTAAAAGCTATTTCTAAATGCAAAAATATCTGCTACATTTAAACAAATCTTATTGTAATCTATTAATCTGGGAGTAAACCAATACTGTATCTAGATAAAAGAACTAACTCCAAAATATAAAATTATTCTTTTAAACTTTTAATAAGTTTTCTATGTAAACTTTCACTTAAATTCAAAGTTGTTAGTAAGTGGTAATGTCATACCACGAGTGGCAAAGCTGTGCGTTATGCACTGATAGAGGCGTGTGAGGGTGTAAGCATGCGAAGAATACTTGTATTAAACAGCAAAAAATAAGGACGGTGCAGAGCACTATTGAAAAGGTACCTCGTCATCATACCCCCCCTCCTTTGATTCGATCACAAATTTCCCTACATGAGGAATCGCCACCTCTACAACTTGCTGATTGGAAGGTGGTTGACTTATGGTATTTTCAGGTTTCTGCAGAAGAAAATCATTGGTATGAACATTAGGAAAGAGAACAATGGAAGCCAATTTAAGCACACAGACTAAAATCTCTTAAAAATACCTGCAATTGCTAGGTATAAAATGAAACCTCTAAAACTGAACATTAGAAGTGAATGCATTGATCAAATAGTAATACAAAATCTATACCCTTGCTCTTCCCATCACACACACTTTTATTAGTATATGTTTATAGTACATAATGACTACTTTCATTGTGACAAGAAAATATATGTACAACGTATCTTTATTATTTTTATTCCCCTTCCTCCATCTCAAGATTGCTTCCCACTTACCAAAGATCTATCTTCCTAGTTCCTGTTGTGTTTTTTTCCTGCTCTATTTATACACTGAGAGAAGTTATGTGGTATTTAAGCTTGTATTTCTGATTTATTTCACTTAATATTATGGTCTCAAGGTGGACCCATTTTCCTATAAACAATTCAAACTTACCCTTCTTTACATCACAATAGTACTCCATTGTGTAGAAATACCATATTTTAAATTCCAAACATTTTAAAGTAGCTCTTTAGTAATTTTCCACAAAATATTTTGGATTACAAATACTTAAAAATAATAAATACTGGAGTCGGTTTCCTACTATTGATTGTCTATAGCTGAAAGTACTAATTAAAAAGAACTCCATGAAATCCAAAAGCCTTTTTTGTTATTATCGCTGTCTTTTCTTTTTGTGAGACAAGATCTCAGCATGTACTGAGGTTCCAGACCGGGTTGAACTCACTGTGTAGCCCAAGCTGGCCTCAGATTTATGGCAATCCTCCAAGGGCTGAGATAACAGGCATGTGCCACCACACTCAGCTCCAGGAAGCCTTTCTTGATATTTCAATAAAAATAAAGTTATGACTTTCTCTAAACCTAGCAGAGTTTTTAGGTTTTTTTCCCCCATTTCCTAGTAGTCAACTGTGTATTCAGTTAACATCCATATGTTACAGTGTTTAATTCACTCTGTACAGCCTACAAGACTCCATATAGCATATATACTTCTTAAGTGACCACTGAACTCATACTGAAAATACTTAAAAGCTGTTGGAAAGTGATGCCCATTCTTAACAATTCAATCAGATTGATTCCTTTTTATTTATCATTGTTAATAAAGTCTACAAATTACATTAATTCATATGAATAAGAGTACATACCAGAATGGAATCCAGAAAAATACACTCAAAAACTCTAATATTTCTGAGATACTGTTCAAATTTAACAGTCATCATAAACAGTGCATCTACTATTTACTACTAAAAAACAAATTCAAAAGTACTGAAGGTACTTGAGAGCAGAGTGCTTTATGTACTCAATTTGCGTAACTTTTCTTCAACTAAGATAAATTTTAGATCTGATATAAAATATAGTAGATTTTAGTGAAACCCAATTAAAGAGATTTTATTTCCATATGAAATACAGATAAATTTTAGTAATAAAAATATTACCTAACTTTTTCAAAATACATATTCTGAAAGAGTTTTATTAATACAACAGAACTACCAGGTAAGAGTACTACTGCCCTGTCTTTTTTTTTTTTTAAATTTATGTCTTTTTGAGACAGAATTTCACTATGCAGTTTGGGCTGGCCTTGAACTCACTTTGTAGCCCAGGCTGGCCTCAAACTTCAGCAATCCTCCTGCTCCAGGCTCCTAAGTGCTGGGATTACAGGTGTGAGCAACCACGCCCAGCCTGCCTTGTTTTTTGTTTTTCTTTAATTCTTACATGCTACTTCCATAGCATTTGGTATTTTTTAGTTTGAGTTGTTTTTTTTTTGTTTTTTTTTTTTTTTAATTTTTGTTTTAAGAAAGGGTCTTACTATGTCCTCCAAGATGGTCTTGAATTCACTATGTAGTCCAAGCTGGTTTTGAACTAGCAATCATCCTGCTTCAGCTTCCAGAGGGCTAAAATTATAGGCATATACCACCATACCTAGCTTCTCTGTCAAATGTTTTAAAAAAGATTTCCTTACTTCACTCAACACTCAACTTTTCAAGAGAAAACAATCAACCTGCTTTGTTGTTTTCGTGAGATAATATTCAGCTAACCCAGTACTTAGTAAGAACTGTTTTATAAGTGGCAAGTATCATTATACTATTTCACTACAATACTGTAAATTGTTTATACTCAACTAATTCTAATTCAGTATTAATAACCACATATTCTACAGACATGGGCTTCTAAATTAAGAATTCTGAATCCTTCTAACATATGAGAGAACTGTGCTAGGTCTCCATTCAAAAGAGTGAAATATAAGCAAGTAAATTAAGAAATCTCTCTAGAGTTTACGGTGATAAATTTCTCTGTAGCAAACCAATACAAAACAATTCTATTTTAGAGACAAAATAAAAATCTAAGCAAAACAGCTACTAGGAAAGGTATTACTCAGAATACTGATCCTTTTAAAACAACATTATTTCCTTGGCGGAGAGTTTATGACTAAAATTAGGGAAAATGTTTAGAAGCTTTTCCGGTTACTATTGAAGAGTTACTGCTGAAGAGCATCAAACTAATTAATTGTAAGGGTATAAGCTGAAAAAGGGAAGACACTTCAGCTGCACTTAGAAATTTGGCATCATTCCTCAAATTCAGATATACTAAGGTAACACAGTTTTTTTCACAAAGTAGTTAATGGCTCACTGAAATAAAGTCCACATTTATTTAGCTTTGTATTATTTTAGGCAACATATTAACAAAGGCTAAATTTGAAAAGTTGAAAAATATGTTCTTTGGTTAAATGAAAAAATAAAACACTGTATGAAGTATTTTATTAATTGCCTAAAATCCATTAAGCATATGATTTTTTTTGAAAGTGGTCTCCTAAGGGTAGTTAGAAAGCTGCTGAGTGATAAAGTCTCTGACCACATTAAAATACTATCTCTTTTAACATCATAATTCACTTCTAATAAAGCCTGAAATATGGCCAAAATTTTACCTCTACTAACCAATTTATAACAATATAGAAACAGAAACAAATAATGGAGGAGTAGATAAATAAGAATCTACTCAGTGGAATAATACTCATCTGTCACATGATTTTTACTGAGTTTATAGTATACAGTGGAAGGATGAATATAAGGTTAAGTAAACAGAAGAAGGCAAGGCAAGACAGAAAATTTCATATTCAGTAGTAACTCAATTACAAAAATCCCCAAATTATATTTTAAAATAAGAGTGACAAAAACTCAAACCAACACAATGACTGAGACTCACTGCCTAAGTATTAAGTGGGACTATGCATGATTCTTCCTTGGAGGGTACTTTCCTCTACTGCATTTCGTAAATATCCTACTGTGTTCCATTTAAAATTAAAAACATTCTTCTAAAAAGCACACTGCCTAAATATTTGGAGACTGTCTAGGGTTTCAGTGGTGCTAGGTTTTCCAAGGAATTCTTATTCTAAGGTTGGAACTTAATATACTATGTATTTGTGAAATGACTAGGACTGAAGTAAAAGACAGAAGGTAGTGGTTACTACATGCCATGACTGTCACTTTAGAAAACAATAGACTTCAATAACCCTACAATCACCTCTATCTTCTGGAAAAGTGTGACTTAGGGAAATTAAACAATTTATTCAAAGCTACACTGCTAGTAAGAACTGAACCAAAATTCAAAAACACGAAAATCTGAAGATTCTTAATTTAGCTTCTAATATACACTAAATTTAGATGGGAAAACACAGTATGACACAGTTACTAGGATCCTCTGAAATGAATGAGAAGACAAAGAACCACAGGCCACTTCTGATGGCAAAGGTTAACGAATTCTTAGACATGCCGCAGATTATACAGACAGTGGGGCTAAACGTCGATGCCACTCCAAAAAAAAAGTATGGTGGAAAAAAAATCTATGCTGTTTTTCTATCATATTCTCTCCCTATCATCTTCCTTTTTCACGAAGAGATGAAGAGGCAAGTTGCTAGTTTATAAGATGATATCCACCAGAAGAAATCTAAGTAATCAAAATTTAAGTATTGGTTTCTATTTCAATTATATATGATTAACCAAACTAAAAAATACCATGACTGTACAGTAAGCTAGGTAACACTTTGGGTTTTTTGTTACTAAGTTAAAGGTTTACATTTATTAACCTTTAAGTTCTACCAAGCAGAAGTACTAATTAGCAAAGGCCCTCTATTTTTATATGGAGAAAAAATATTTCATCATGTACCTACTTCTCTGTCCTTTCTCTATCCCTAAATTTTCTTTTTCCCATCCCCCAAGAAGTCAGCAGACTTTCCAGTTCCATTAAGCGAAGTATTTTCCAGGAGTAGCTTTAGAATTAGCAAATGTTCATCTTAAGTACACTCATAGGGCTCTAAAGTACTTGAATAATCTGCAATCATAAAAAAATCTATTAAAATTAATGAATATTTTTCAAACTGGAAATGAAAGGAATAATTTTTGCTTGATATTTAGTTCATCTGAATACAACAGAATACCCTACTTACTGGACATTTTGGTTAACTAAGATCTCATATTAACTGCTGCATTGCAATTAGTAGATTACTGCTAATACTGAGGTCAATTCCTGAGCAGAAATTATGTTATAAAATTATGATACAATTAGCTGACTTTAGTATTCCAAAGAGGAATGCACAAATATTAAAGGACTTACCTTAAAGCCTGCATTGAGCTGTATAAGCCTACCACTTAAAAAAACAAAGTACTATAAAAAATGGTGTTTCAGTACCAAATTCTTGAACCGGTATCTCTAGAAAAAGTCATATTCATTGATATGAAATAGTCACTGATACCTCCACATCACTGTCCTCAATTCAGGACTTAAAAAAAACCCTTGAAAACTACAACATGGAAGGATAATGACATTATTTCACAGAAGCCTGCTGAGCTATGAGCAAACAGTTTTGTAACATCCTGTTCATCCCGCTAACCTGTAACCTAGAGTATCTAGCAGTTTTATTATTAAACACATTTCACAGAAAAATGGAAATTATATCTTAAATTCCTAACTGCTCCCATGTAATACTATTACAGATGGAGGGAGAGATGGGGGACAGGACAAACAGTTTTAAACTTTGTACTTCTCTTTTAGATTCCAAGTCAAATGATCATTTTAGCCTATGGTCATGATTCCTCACAATTCTCTGACAGGAAGACAAAACTCACGAGAAAAGAATCTTTAAAATCAGAAGCTGAAGAAATTACAGTCCAGGTACAAGGCAGCTTGCCCACAATCACCCATCATGTTCCTGGCAGATCTGTCACTGGACCTTGTCTCTCCTGGCTCCCAGAGAAGTCGCTCTCCATTACACTGCAGGAAAATTCATGAGCATGGCCATGTTCAGAGAGCCAAAAGAAAAGTTCTTACCGCCTGCAAAACTGTCTCAGGACTTTTATCTTCATGTTCATTTGACGCCTTGGTAATTACTCGAATAGTTTCTTCATTCAAGTGCTTTGAGAAATCACTTCTTGATGGCTGCTCTAGATATTCTGGTTCTCTTGCTTGTGCTTCATGAGAAAAGAATCAATTGCATATCTAACATAAATCACACAGTTTATATACTAAAGTGATCTGTTTTTCCAATTCTGAAGTTATGCATTAATCAATTTAAGTTTCTACTTAAAAGTAAAATATATCCTTTAATATACAGCACCCAGACTTTAAGAAAACAAAATAAAAACTAAGAACCACAGATACTCAAGTAATTACTACATAAAGTGCTCATTAGTTGTGGTAAAGAATTCATAAAAAAAAGAATTCACGATAAATTTTTTTCTAGCATGAAAACCAAAAATCTCATTTGGGAAAATCATCAGGTTTTTACTAAGAAAAGATTTGGTTTCTGTAACAGTTCTGGGCTGTGTTTCCACAAGGAGGACAGTATCCTTTCAAAACTGACACACTTAACTTTTCTGAACCCGCTCCAATAGCTAAATATTGTTAGAAGCAAAGCAAGCCCAAGTTGGTAAACTGGTATCAATATAAATTCATGATTTCAAATACCATGCATGTGAAGACGTTTAAAATTTTACCTTTAATTCCTATCTTCTGAGCTCCAGACCCCTATATCAAAGAATAATCTGAATATCACTGCGTAATTCACAGACAGCCTCAGAATCCCATAGGACCTTGCCAGGCTTGATGTGAGTGGCCTTCTGCCTCTCTTCACATCCCCTTGTGTCCTTTGTTCAAAAAAGTCCACACCAGCTCATTTTCATTCTTCTAGCATCCTGAAGAAGTTTATTTTCCAACCTTTGGATCACATATTCTTCCCACTGCTTATATGATCACTCACTCTCCTATTTTCTCATCCTGGAACTTTAACATCCTTTTGTTAAATATCACTTGTATGCTGAAACACTACTATTATCTAGAACAGGACTCAGTCTCATCATCATTGAAGTTTTGCTTCTGGTAAATCTGTGGTGCAGAGGGCTATTCTGTAAACACCGGCATCTACTCACTACGTGCTGGAAACACTGCTCCTCTGTTTCAAGCTATGACAACCAAAAATGTCTCCAGTGTACTCAAATGTCTTCTGGAAGACAAAACCACTCCCAGATGAGAACCACTGTTCTTCAGTAATTTCAACTTTCCTTTTAAACAGCCAGTATAATTTAATTATTGTTGCATTTATTTAAAGCACATATTCCTTGCTAGACTATCAGAATTTCATGAGCAGGGATGTCATCTCTCTTCTGCACTGCTAACACTACAATGCCTGGCATAAAACAGGAACATAATTTATGAATTCATAACTAAATTAATGAATGGATATATATAAATTAATGACTGGATATAATTAAATTAGTAAAATTTCTACAATGTTATAGAACTGATCAAATAAGTCTTTGCTGAGCTACCTACTGAGACACAAGAGAGCTATCATTCTAACACTTCATTCAATTTAAAAATCTCCAAAGTGAAATATTTTGAAAAGTACTACATTTTCAACACATATGCATGGTCCTTCATTTACTCAGTAAGTTTTAACTACCATCTAACTACGTGCCAGGCACTAGGCTAGGCATTAGGACTCCAGGGATGACAAAATAGCAAGGTTCATTTTCATGAAGCTCACAGTCAACTATGCTAAAACTCAATAACCAATCACAGAAAAAAATTGTGACAATATAAAATAAGGACGGTGGGCAATTTCGTTTTGTGAGATTAAGGTAAAGCAAAAAACCTGAAGGATTAGTAACTTACTCTGCTGGATGAAATTTTAAAGAGCCCAAGTGATGATACTGGGCTGGATTTGAAGAACCAGTGGCCATAGTACAGTGAAAGTAGAGATAAGGCACAAGACCATGCAGATAGAGTCAACACATGAACAGCCTTCAAGGCACGTAACTGTTTAGTAGGCAAGAAAAAGTGAGTAAAAAGTTTAAATAATATGCCAACTTGGCAAGTTTAAATCCCCCTGGTGGGGGCACTGGGTAGATGGTTGACTGGTAGAATACCCGCCTGGCATATGCAAGACTCTGGCTTTCATCCCCAGTACAGGAAATAAAAAAGAAATTATTCTGGTTTTGTTGTGAAGGATAGATTGGAGAGACAAGGAAAACTTGACAGCAGTGAATGAACGTACTGGGAGGTACTACAGCAATATGGGAAAGAGATGATTGTACTTTGGGATAATGAAGAAAACAATAAAGGCAGAAGTGGCTAAATGCAAGGCATATTTTAAACACAAAAGTTGGGAGGCTGCGCATAAGAATGATTCCAACTTTTTTGCTTGACTAAGTAGGATGGCGAAGGTAAAATTTCCTATAAGAAAAACTAGAAGTGGCAATGCTTAAAATGTGACAAGGAGGGATAAAAGTAGAAATTTAAATGCAAAATGTCATGACTATTGATCACAAAAGGAGCATTTTCAGATAAAGGAAAGCCATGATGATAGGGTAATTGCTCAAATGTAAGAGAAACGGTGAGTCACCTGGCTTAGATGAAACATAGGGTGCTCACAGAGAAACAGTCTTGGAAGAGTAACAATGGTAATAGGAGATCCTCATAAAAAGCAGAAAAAGGCTTTGTCTTCATTTTATCAAAATAAGAGAAAAAGAAATTTTTTTTCTCAAACGGGAAGAAATGCCTAAAGTGAAGAAAATGAATAGTTCTTTCCACTACCCAGAGGTGAACCCTGTTAGTATTTTTTGTTTTTATATATCCAGACTTTATCTGCCTACCTAGACTTTTAAACAAGAAGATCTATATAGTTTGTAACTTAAATAATAAAAATTTTTATCAATATAATCTTTATGTTGAGCTGTCCTATATAATCAGCCCACCATACCACGTAAGTAATTCCATTTCATTGTCAAAAACAGTAACAGAACGAAAGGTTTGGCTTTATAGATAATATGTAATATAAATATTAAATACAATGTTTTGATATATGTATATATCTCTAAGGATTTTTATCTTCTAACTGTATAAAAATCTCACCACTGCTGGCCTTCATAAGTGGCAGAAACTTAGTATGAAGACCGCAGTGTTTTCTGCATCGACCCTATGTCCTAATTAGCACTTTATATACTAACTAGTCTCAGTGTAATGGCCTGTACAGGCTATAATGTGCAAGACCAGTGGTGACTTTCAACACTTGTCAGTCGCACTTCCTGGAAGTCTTCCTTGATTTCCTATTGTCTGTACATAGCTACAAACTCCCATACGCATTCATTTCACTATGAATGACCACTTCTCTATACAGGTATATAATACACTTATGCCTAAATTATCTCTCAAATTATTTTATTTGTTGCATGAGTGGCTCTGAGATTTTCCAGTTAGCCTCTATGTAGAGATATTTTTAGATATGCTGTGTATGCCGCACAATGTAGCATCTTCAAAGACCCAGCACTCTAAAGTTACTCTGAGTTGGTTCCTTTTGTGTATGTTCAGGTTGGAGTAAGGGGCTGAAGAGGTTTGGCGCTGTTCTGCTTATATACATTTTCTAGTTATGGTCTTCTACATTTTAATAGGAGGGTCAACTTAACCACCAATTGGCTTCCTATTAAAATGTAAGGATCTGTTCTCAATCAAATACAAAAAGAAGAAAAATCTCAAATTTTATTCAGAAGTATTTTACCTTGGCATACTCATGAGTCATACTTATTTACAATCACACTGAAAGAGATTTCAAGAGCATTACTTGAGAAATATGCAGCCCATCCATTCTAGAAAAGCATTTGAAATCAACAATTCTCTAAAAGTAGCTTATAGAGAGAGTCATACTGATCCTTGCGTAAAATCACTCACTGTAGGAATTTGCAAGACTTCACAAATTCCTGGATCACAAATCTAAACAGTCTCTGGGATATGAAGAACAGAGACTAAGAATGAGTTAAAATTACTCCACAACAGAGAGCACATTCTTATCACATCTTTAACCTTTAGCATCACTACTATGAGTTACTTTGCTTACACTTTAAAATCAGGTATTCTCTTACACTAAGGGTCACCCCTAGGAAACTCATTAGAATCTCCATTGGGAAATAACTCAATTTAGGAAACATTCAAGGAGCATTTACCATATGTCATTTTTATACTAGATGCAGGAGAGATAAATAAAAACATCCTGTTTTCAAGGAATCTAAGAATACTGATTAGTCTCTGCTTTTAAAGAATCTGAGAATATTGAGGATATTAGCTCTTACTCTTAGGACCTAACTTTATTTTCCTAGAACAATAGAGATTTTTGTTTTTTTGTTTTTTTGTTTTTTTTTCTTTAACTTGTTGAGAAGACCCAGAGCCCTCTGCTTCCTATTTCTGGACAAATTTATGGAATATATTTCATACCAGTCACAATCACTTTCATCTTATTTTTCCTACTCTTGTTTTTGTATGTTTTACATATATATATATATATATATTTAATACATATTTAGTAAAAATCTGGGTATGCTATACATGTTATAACAATCTCAAATGCTTTTTGGATAAAGAGTAAAATAATAACTCACAAAATACTCTTCTCTTCTTCAGAATAAGTTCCCCGTTATATAAATATAACCTAGAGTCATGCTGACCAGAGGTACACTTCCAAATTATAAGATTTTTTCAGCAAATACAGATGGAGTACTTTGGTTATAGTCAAGAGAAAAAAAATTTCACTGTTAATTCTAATGTGTACATCCACAGTAAAGGACTACTGCTAGAAATCTGCACAAAAATATTCAGGTAAGTTTTTCTTTGGAGTAAGCAGGTTTGGGGAAGTAGCACAAAATGCACCAAATAATAGTGTCCAACCACTTAGCACTTATTTCAGTTTTAGTAGGCAATAAATAATGGATTTTCTTGGTCACGTGTAGGAAGACAACAAATGCTAATTTGTATACAAATATATACACCTTTTTATTTGGACTATCACTCAGAAACTGGATTTTAATTAGATTTTCTGTTATAGCTCTATTGAGAAAATTTTACAGGGAGGAAAATCACTTTGCTGGTGTTTATAAATATATTGCCTTGTATTACTCCCACAAGCACAATCCTAGTGCATCCCCCAAAGATTTAAATATGTTATCTCTGAGATACTGGAAGTATTAAGCCTCACAAAACAAATTATTTATTTTGAAAGTTATGAAGAGAAATAGAAAGACTATGGCATGAGCATTCAAACAAAATTTCTCTACTAATGACGAGATAAATAGTTCTCACTTCTTTCTAAAACTGAGTCTGGAAGAGAACCGTTACAACAGTTCTTTGGGAATTGAATTTTTCTCTATCTTTTAGTTACTTTAGCTCCTCTCAGAAATATAGCTGCACTCCCAAGTTTATTTTACACAATAAAAAGAGAAAAGTATAATAACTACTACTGAATTTTAAAGAAATTACTAAACAGATGCAAAAAGTCTGGTGGGAGTACTGATCATTAAAGAAAGGACATAAGGTACATGGACATTGCCTTTTTGTAAAAAGAGACAGTAAGATGACAAGTACACAGAGGAGGCAAGGCTGGTCCTTATCAAGTAGAAACAATATCGGAGAACGTATTATTCGTTAACTTAGCAGAAATTAAATGTTTTAGTCCTAAGTTTGGAAAGTCTTTTGAGAAACAGGTAAGATGCACCAGCAGCAACAGCTATATAAATTTTAACATTTTGGTAGGTCAAGATATTGGAACATCAAGAATAAAGTTTGGGCTCAATAAATAAAGATTTCATTGTGTTTTAGTGCTTAGATAATATTACTATTTGGGCCAGTTATGCAACCAGACTCCTCCTCCTGGTAATAATAAGAGCCAATTACATGTGAATGGAGTACATACACATTACAGAAAGAATAACCCAGCAGTTCCACCGGAGGCAAGTACTAGGGGGCAGTTTGCAAAGGGTGTGTATTGAAAACCAAAGAAGAAATTGCTAAGAAATGGAAATAGCTTAAATACCAAAGGAATTAAAGTTATGAATATGGACAAATAAGAACATGCTTGCGTCAGGCACAATACCACCACGTGGTTCTGGTAAGCTCTGTACTGAAAGAATGATCCCACCTAACATTCAAAATGATAATGCTAAAACTCAAGTAATGCATGGAAATCTATCTGAAGAAGATGAAATTAAACAAAAACATGCTTCCTTAAAAAGTAAAAACACAGGTCTTGCAAAAATGAAGTTATAAAACAACAGGTGCACCCAAAGTTATGAAAGAAAAAAAGAGAGACATAAGTTTGAGGAAATTCTCTAGGTTTAATTCGTATCCTCATTTTACCAACTACTATACAGAAATAACACTTTTTCAGAGTATGAAATATGATGTCTAAAATATATCTGCAACTCTATAATGATGAAATTAACCTTTTAAAAAAGATAAAAATATTCTACTTTCAATTTTTTCAGAACATATTTTCATTTTTATACAGTGCTTATTCTTAATATTTTATTGATTTCACCAGCTGTTTGTGAATGGCATTTTAAAATATATTTTATTGGATTTATCTCTGTTTTGAGTCTATACTTTTTTGTTTAAACTTTGCTTTTAAAGTAAGAATTATTTAAATGAAAATAAAATAGCCTATATTAATTACACTATTTCACTATTATATAAAATACACATGACTATACCAATAGCCATTACTTTTATAAAATTTGAAATTACTAGAGTTTACTCTCTGGATACAGCTAAGGAATTGGTTGGATTGCTCACAGACCTCACAGCCTCTCTTGCTCTTTGGGAAGAGAACAGCCCAAAGCAGGCAGGGCAGATAGAGGATGAATAGCATGCTGAAACAGAGATTCACATCGACCTGTAAACGGTCTATATGAATATACTGGTGTCTAGCCAAGGGATAACTAAGTTGCTACCAATTCTTATTGCTAAGTGATATAATTCCAGATGATTTCTACTGGCTTCTTCACACTTGAAGATAAAACTTTCTGGTGTTTCCTTTAATGAACATATCTTATTTTTACAATGCACTAACCATAATAAATACAAAGTACAACTTAATAAAAATAGACAAACCTGCAGGCACAGAAGACTCAGTCTCCCTCAACTTCTGAGATGCTAAAAGCTTTTCTTGCAAAGCTTTCTGGGCAAGCTGTGTGTCCCATTCTTCCAATTCTTTTTCAAATCGCTGGTTGTCTTCCTCAACAAAATCTCTCAAATCCGGTGGTAATGTTTCTAATCCAACAAGGGCCTGCCCAGTTTCCTTATTAAATTCCTCTGAAAATCAAATTTCAAAAACTAGTATAAAATTAGGAATTAAAAGAAAAACCCAAAGCTCAAAATAGAATTCAAGTCATATAAACTATGTATTATTGCTGTACAGCACCAATAAATTTTTTAACTCTACCAAATACTCAGAAAAACAATGATACAAATATCTGAAAAGCCACTACAGATAATCTTATAAGATTTTTATAATCTGAAGAGAAACACTTGAGATAAAGGTATGAAAACAAAATTTTTATTTCTTTAACATTGATCTTCTGAAAAACAAAACATTGATCTTCTGTCACTACAAGAAGAGATGTGTTACTCCTGAAGTAAAACTCTTCACGTAGTGAGAAGTAACCCACAAACTTGTAACTATTAAACATGAAATAAAATTAAAACTGTATCATCAAAAGCAATTAAATATAGTCATTAGGATAAATATACAATTTAAATATATAATTATGTAAACTAATCAATGTGGCAAGATATCTTAAAAGCTTTATATGAGTACTAGTTAAAAGAATGACTTAGCCAGGTGTAGTGGCCTATGCCTATGATACCAGCACTCTGGGAGGCTGAGGCAGGAGAATCTCAAATTCTAGCCTTGACTGTGCAATTAACAGGATGTCTCGAAATTTAAAAAAAAGAAAGGACCAGGGATGTAGCTCTTTGCAAAGGCCCTGGGTACCAAAAAAGCAAAAAAAATACCCAAGGGTGAGTCAACCTCTACTATACACTCACATATGCAACATATACAAACTTTATCATTTGAACTGTAAATTGATTGCTTAGCTAGTTTTGATGACTAGTTAAAGACAGAGGCTAGACTAAGGAGTTTAAATATAAGTTAAATGGATATTTTCATAGAAAGGTTTCTAATAAAGAAAAAGGTCAGATTTACACTTAATAATTACACTTAATAAACTATAATAGTTTATCAGTTATGATCACATTACTTTTCAACTCTAGCTTTCTCATTTGCAACAACCCTGCACCACTTACTAATCACACCCATCTCCTCTAAATGAAGTACACTGAACTAATCATGGTGCAAAAGAGAGTGACATCAAAGTACTACCTATTTAAAAATATACTCCACCCTATACATTTCATGGTCTTACCTTGTATTAAGAATTGTGCCTTATCATTTATATACATTAAACAATAAGCACTGGCATTTCTATAACCACCAAAGGAGTCCCTCACTAGCTCTTCCCATGACGACTTTGTCACAGCGATATCATTGTACTTCATCCACCTGCTTTCATGATGATCAAAAATGTACGCCCAGTAGTGTCCAGCATTCGCTTGGCCCTCATGAACCAACACAGCATGTAAACGATAGGGAACCTAAACGTAGAAAGGAAAGAAAGGGGATTAAACTGCAGTTATGTAGTCTACAAACCACTTTCCATGAAACCACTTCTTTGAGGAAAAACATGGGAGTGCAATAGGATAAAACTGGATGGGATTAGAACTTTGAGAACATTAAAACTACAAATTATTTTTAAAAAGAGGAAAATAAAATAAGCTAAAGATACGTAAAACAGATAGATATGTAAATAAGGGATGCTTTTCAAAACTTTAAAAATATATTACTGTGTATATATTTGTTGACCTATTTATTTAAGTAAAAAACTATGAATGGTTTTATACAGAACACATGATTTGTTCAAATCATCATAACTATTACTGGTGGCTGAAAAAATTGATTATATAATGTATGCCAGAGGATAAAATGAAATTTAGCTTTAATGTTTCTCTCTACATCTTGTATCTTTAAACAATCATTTATTTAAATAATTAAACATTTAATTAAGATGTTCTGAAAATTTGTTATGAATTTTATTCTAAAATTATGAAATGAATGAGCAATAGGTACAAAGTGAAATATTGTTATAAAACATCACAAAATTTCTGTTTATTTTCACAATTTATTGCTTATATTATTATTATACTAAAATCTATATAAATTTTATAGTAAAGCATGTAACAAAAATTTGGTTACATTATTATAACAATAAGGTAAAATACATGTACAGAATTCTGACAATAATAAACAGCTCAAAATTTTACTTACTTGGATCATGGATTTGTCAGAGTACATTAGCTCAATTGTTCGATGGATTCTGGATATGCTTTCCTGTAAATCTAAGGATATAAACTGTCATTTAATGATTAAATGTATTTCTCAAACTGGTAAGATAAAAACTTTACTATCTGTAGTCTGGATGAAATGAGATACATTTCTTCTGAAAAAAAACATACAGAACACAAATGCATAGTTAAACACCAAAACAAGTATGATTCATCTAGAAAATGTACAGGGCCAATGAAATTGCACTTTGTTCAAATATACAAAGGAAGGTGCCACTATTAGATTTAAAATGCTCCCCCAAAGTCTCACATATACAGAGGTGGGGATCTTGGAAGGTGAGCAGGTCACAGGGCTCCTCACTCATCAGATGACTGACCCACTGATGAGCTCACGGCTGAATGTGCTGGTAAGAGATGGGGCCTGGGTGGAGGAGGTGCGTCCCTGGGGACACGGCCCGGACAGGTATATTCTTGTCCTCAGCCCCCTCCTCTATTTTCCTGGCTGCAACTGGTTGAAAACTTCCTGCCACAAGTCCTCTGCCTGGTCATTCCTGCACTGGAGCCAGGCAACCATGGACTGAAACCTTTAAAACCATCTACCAAAATAAATCTTTTCTCCTTTAAAGTTTCGAATGTCAAGTACTTTATCTCAGCCTTGAAAACTAATTCATAAAATTTCAGTGAAAATTAAAGTTAACCCCCTTACATCCTAATAAGAGAACTTAAACATGAAATTAAATGACTTCCTCAGATCATCTTGCACATGTAAGTAAGTGAAGAAAAATCCACTGCAATCACCAAAGAAACAAACTGACAGGTTGACAGCCTGAGCGACTTAAGTGACTCAGTGAGGCCCTGTCTCAAAAAATAAAGGGCTACGTATGTAGCTCACTGAGAAAGCCCCAGGTTTCATACACATTACCATTAAAGAAAAGGGAACAGAATAATACAAACAACAAACACATTATGCATAAAAATACTAAGGAAAATGTTTCCAGCTATTAAGGCTAATTTTTAGTCACTATCATCTACTCTAGTAAGACTGTTACCTAGTCACCTACTGTATGTAAAGAGTCAAGTTGGTCATCTAAAATCTAATGTTGTTTAGTTTATATCCAACCTTGTGGGAGAAAACAACAATTCCTCTATTATTTTTTAGAGATCAACAAAATTAGCATAAAATCGTGATGATAGTAGGATATTATATATTGAGGTAAACATACTAAAATTTACCTCAAAATATTAATATAATTTCATGAAAAGCAAAACGTGACATTTTAATAACAGAAAATAGGAAGGAGGTAAGTCCAGAAGAAAAAAATTTCTTTGAAGGAAGAATAGAGGGAAACAACAAAAAGAACACACACAGAGGACACTGGATTTACTCTTCCTATTCTGCTGGAGGCAGGTAAAACCCCGTTATACACCTGCCTAAGTTCATACATTGTATCTGGAAAATCTTTGTTAGAACAGATTCAAAAGGAAAATTTGTATTTCTAATTCTTAAGGTTAAAGAAAAATTTTAGTCACTTGAATTTCTTAACTGCGTAAACTTCAAATGAAGTACAAAACCAGTATGTACAAACTGTCATGCTGTATGAAATTTCGCAATGGAAGAGCTGTGAATACCAGTTTGATATAAATTTAGAACACTAAACTAGAAAATCAGACCATCTGCTCTGCCATTTATCAGGTAAGTAAGCTGGGTAAACTCCTTTGGTCCTTGTAAATCTGATATTAAGATCTTAAAAATGGGAAGTCAGACCAGTTTATTTTGCATAAAACCTTTCCTAGAAAAAAAATTTAATATTGAAATATAAAACCCAAAAGTGATTTAGCCTTCTCAATTTTAATATTACGCATGTCCATCTTCGGTGACGGGAGCTACATGACGAGAAGCTTTTTACCTCTTGTGTCATTTTCTATTTCTGTCCTCCAGCGATGTAAACAGCTTTCCAGTACAGAAAGTTCTTCTTCTGTTATGTGCCTGGGTGCGGGATGCATGGGCAAATCTGGAGGTATCCGAGACTGAGTGAATGGTTTGTGTATTACAGACCTCGACAAAATGGCAGCAACTGAAGCAGGCGACGTGCTGGGCAGTTCTGAAGAAGGAGCTGCCTGTTGTTCTGCTGTGCTGTGTTTCCAAAGCATGGGATATCTGTTATTAAACCTTCCAACCGAAGCACTGAAGTCTGTGCTAAATACACAGCATTATATTTAAAAAGAAATACAGGGTTTATCTAATAACCTATTTAAGACTCTTTCTAAATAGGAACTAAATTATCACAAGGATGAAATTGTGGCATTAGAGTAAAAACAGGTTAACCATATCTATTTTCTAAAACCAGCAAATCTAATGTATGCTAAAATTATAAAGACCATCCCTTGGTAATAATGCTTACCAGACTGCATTATAAACACAAATCTTACAAGTATTACTTTCATGGATCATAACTGAAACATATCAAGACAATCTGACCTATAATTCTGAAAAGAAAAATATTATGAAAAATTCTATTTAAAACCATAAAGTCTACTGAAATAAAATAAAAACGCTCAAAAAAAAAATCATACAATCTTCTAAACTAATCTACTCCTTTTAACAATTCACTAAATTAAATCACACCATGCATTCTATAAACTTCCTACCAGGCATCAATCATTATTATCATGTAATGTAAGTAATGGAACTGCCTCTTCCATCAAGAAAGCTTTTACCTTGGTAACGTCTGTGATGATATGGACCCACTAGGCTGGGAACTAGCATCAATATCATCAACAGGAGAAGTGCAAACAGGTTTACTTGAGGCAAATTCCAATGCATACTGCAAAACATCTACCAATGGGAACCGTTTGGGACCGGAACCATAGCTTAAGTATCTGTTAACCAGAAAGTATAGAAATGATTTTATTTGTACATGCAGCACAAGTGAGATTTTTTTAAAGTAATTCAAACAAAACACAACTAACTCTCCTCAACAATGAAATTCATCTGCTTTCAGATGAAGAAGGTAAAATTGAATATATACTCAAGAAATAAATGTTCTCCAAAGGAAGGAAACCAAATCTAATTAAGATTAAATATATGTATATACTGTTATAATTTTAAGTGCCAGTCTAAATTGTAATTCAACAAAAAGAAAGTAACTGGCAATACCATCTCCAGAGACTGTTTTTATATTTAAATCTGGTATCTGGTCTCATGATCAAGGTGGTGACTTTTATTATCCTCCTACATTTTACCCTTCATCACTTTTCAATATGAACACTGCTATTTTTTTAAGAATTAAAAAATTATTACATTAGATATATTATTTTGGTATTAAAAATGTAGACTATTAATTTGTAAATTAAAACTAAAATAAATGAATAAATAAATCTTTGGCTTCTTTGAGAACTAATGGGAAGCAAAATGAGACCATATTCACACACGCTCCCACCACTCTCCCTCTACAGGGTGCACTTACTCTGTCTGCACTCAGAGCCTTGGCCCAGCATCTCCCCTTACCCTCCATCTTGTCCTGTCATAAGCCCTTAAGAGGCGTGGACAGTCATCTGAGCTTAGATCCCCCCTATTATGGAGAAAAACTCAGGCACCATTATTCTACCAGAAAGGTAAAGAGTAACAGTCTAACCCTCAATACTAGATTTATCTGACATTATTTATTTTTAGCAACTTGGACATTACTTGTTGACAATGAGATAATTTTAAACACTAAAATAACCTTCTATAGCCAAATAGAGATTACTTGCAGATTCTAATAAAACTCTAAACTATTCAACTCAATCAACCCAGATTGATTATTCCTGTAATTATAAATCACTCAAAGCAAATTTAAAATTTAAAAAATCTAGACAGTCACCAAATATGTGAATTCCTATAGTTATATGTCATAAAATTTAAAATACCTTTCTAGTCTTTGTTGTAATACTGTGAGGTAATCTTTAAGTCTCTTGATCTCTTCCCTTTTAATTCTTGTTATTTCTCTATTTCTGTGCATATACCTGTCAGGAGAAAAAAAAATATTTACAAGTATCTTGGCTTTAGAAACACTGTTAGGACCAACCCCTACCTAAAAAACATCAACTCATTTGAAAATTTACAGTACAACATGAGATAGAAAAGATAAAATAGTAGTTCTTAAAAATTCTAATAAAAATCTCTTTTAACATCACTCCCAGTAATTACTTTTCAAATAAAAAGAACTGCATTATTCTTCATAAGTGCTATTAGTTATCTCATGCACAAGCAGACATCAAGAAAAATTTTTAAAGCAAAATTCTTCTGTAAGCCCAATAATTATTCACTTGCTTATCTCTAAAAGCTATGTTGTATAACAAACCATACCTGTCCAGATACAAAACTTGAGGAAATTCTAATTTGTTGTGAATTTTTTCTGGTCTTCCTAATGCCTGATTAAATTCAAATCTTGACAACTCAAATGTTAAAACAGGTGGTAGTTCAGTAAACCAATGCTGAAAGAAAATAAAACAGCAAAAAACCACATCACATTTTGTCTTTCCCATTGTAATTTTAAGCATAGGATGCTGGCACTGACACTTTTATACACATCATATCAAACTAACCCAACAAAGAATTGAGCACACAATTTATTTAAAACACAACTTTCTTCTAAAGTATTTCCCCACCTTTTGAAAATTCTAAGAGTGGGTATAACAATCAGGAAAGGAAAAAAGCCTAACAACTGTTTTCCTTTCCAATTACTCCATTTTTATAGGGTATCACTATGTTACCCTGGCTGGCCTTAAACGCCTAGAAATCCTCCTGCTCCAGCCTCCCTAGTATTGGGATTCCAAGAATGCACCAGCACTCCCAGCAACAATAACTCTTTCATTAAAATTCTAACTTAAATAGTCACTGATTAAAATCAAAAGTTTGTAGCACAAGTCGTCTGTCTTTTTCAACATTAGCTGAGGGGTACTCATACATTATATAGTCAACTGGACTGTCAAAATTCTGTAGCAAATCAGTTTGAAATACCTAATATTCACAAGAAAAATATTTTGTAACATAAATGAGCCTTGTTTTCACCATAAAAACTACAATATGGCCTTTTCCTTGCTTTCAAATTTAATTTTTCTACTGGAACTTACAGTAGCTTAAGAAAAAAACTATCACTAAGAAATGTAACGTTTGTACTAGTGAAAGTCATATTTTAAATACCAATTTGTGTTTAAAAAATTAAATGCTATGCTGTAATGAGTCAAACAAGAGTGAGTGTGGTTATCATTTCCTGTCTGCATAGCCAGTGTGGTACCTGTTCAATGAAGCATGAAATTCAACAAAACTTGAAGAACATTATTTTCATGTAACAGTTTCAAGTTTTATAAATGTTATTTATGAAAAGAAAAAATTTAAAGCTTGTGTATCAAAAAATACAAAAGTATAAAATAATGTAACAAATGTTCTTAAAGCCCTTGTTTCCACAAGCTATGCACCATCCCACTGTAAAGAAAGGGCTGCATATACTTTACTTTGTATGATAATTTTCAGAGCCACAAAACGTCACCACACATTTGTCAGTAAGTTCAGGATACAATAACTTAAATTTGAACATCTAGAAAAAGCAAGAATGATGTACACCTGGTTAATTTGACCAGGCTCTTGAAAGTTGTTACTTTTTTCTGTAAAGCTAATGAAAGTAAGTCATTATGTAAAACTATTCCCCCCTTGAAAAATACTAATAATTAGCTCAACTGAGATTTCCCAAGTTCAGTATGGGTTATTTCCTACCCCAAGTTAAGACTTAAGAAATGTGTTTGATAAGGATATTACCTTTCATGAGATAAAATTATGCAAGATCTAATATCTGAAACAGCTCAAGTTTTAAAATTTTGTAAGAAACGTACATTTACTTATTTTAATCTCACATGGCATTGGCAAGAATTGCTGAGTTCTAATTCATATCTAAAGTTGGTGTTAAAATTTTAAATTATTTCATATATCTGACAAAAATGATCCTTCATGATAATATTCCAGGCTCCATTTTATGATACTAAAACAAGTACATGAACATTTCAATAATTTTTATAACTTAAATGTCATAATTAAAATTAAATAGTTACATATGTTAATTTATGGGACTCTATCTCCAATGGCCACAAGAAATGATATGACCAAATTTATGTTGCTTCTGTAAACCATCAAAAGCATCCATACCTTATCAAAGGATGTCTTCTAGTCATTAAATATCATGTAATATGTCTCTGTTATGAATACATTTCCTCCATCAGCAACAGCAGGCATTCCCTACTGTCAGAGTGGAAGGATTTCACTTTCTCTCTCCATAGCCAGTGGGCACAAATAAGATGACCAGACATTTCCTAAGTTCATTTTAAAAACCATAAATAGATACCTAGCTCTGAAATACTAGGAAAGTAATTGTAGCAGTACAAAACAACAAACGTGACAAGTATTTTTTCTTAATTTTTTAAATTTTATTTTATTTTCTCTCTCTTTTTTTTGTCTTTTTGAGACAGGGTCTTGCTATGCAGGTCAGGCTGGCCTTGAACTCACTTTGTAGCCCAGGCTGGTTTTGAACTCATAATAATCCTACCTGCTGCACCAAGTGCTAGGATTGCAGGCATGCACCCCCACAGATGCATCTACATTCACTAGGGAGATCAACCTACAGTTCTCCTTTTTGGTTCGATCTTTCTCTGGTTTTGGCATGAGGGTAATACTTGCCTTCCAGGAATGAGTTAGAGAGAATTCTTTCCCTTTCAGTTTTATTGACGAGTTTGAGAATAATTGGTGCTAAATCTGCTCTAAATTTCTTATAGAATTCAACTGTGAATCTGTCAAGACTTGGGTTTTTCTTTGTTGGTAGGGTTTTAATCAAGTTTTCAATTTCATTAATTCAAACTGGATTACTCAGGATTTTTATATCTTCTTTATTCAACTTTAGTAATTCATACATATCTAGGAATTTGTCTATTTCTTCATTTTCCATCCGACAGGAGTAAAGATTTTCAAAGTAGGTATTAATGATATTCTGAATTTCTATAGGATCTATAATGATGCCACATTTTGATTTCTTACTGCATGAATTTGAGGGGATTTTTTCCTTTTTTTGATAAGGCTGGCTAGGGGTTTATCAATTTTACTCTTTCAAAGAACTAATTCTTTCATTCATTAATCATTTATAGTTTTCTTCATCTCAACTGCATTAATTTCTGCCCTGATCTTTATATTTCCTGCCTTCTTTGGGCTTTGAGCTTGACTTGCTCTTCTTTTTCTGGAAGCCTGAGGTACAGCATATGATTGTTTATTTGTGCTGATTCTGTTCTCTTGATGTGGAAATTCACCGCTATCAATTTCAACCTGAGGACTGCTTTGTGTCCCACAGATTCCTAAAAGTTGCATCTCCATTTTCATTTGACTGTCAATATTGTTTAATTTCTCCTTTAATTTTGTCTGTAACCCACTAGTTGTTCAGGAGTGTGTTAATTTCCATGTTTATGGAGTTTCTGGGATTTCTTTTGTCATTAATTTCCAATGTCACTGCCCTATGGTTTGATAGCATGCATGGGATAATTTCAGTTCCTTTGCATTTACTTATGCATGTTCTATGAATAGTATATGGTCCATTTTAGACAACATCCCATGTGCACCTGAGAAGAATGTGTACTCTGATATTGTTGGATAGAACACTCTGTAAAGGTCTACTAAGTCCATTTGTTCACAAGTTTGGTTTAGTTCTGCTATTTTTTGCTGATTTTCTGTCTAGTTGATCTATCTCTTTGGGACAATGGAATGTTAAAGACCCCCGTTACAATTGTGTTACTGCTTATTTGATCTTTCACGTCTGTTAAAATTTGTCTTATATAGTTGGGTGTTCCTGTATTTAGTACATACATACTTACGATTGTTATCTCTTCGTCTTGTAGTTTTCCCCTAACAAGTATGTCATGACCTTATTTATCTCTCTCTTTTTATTGTTCTTGGTTTGAACTGCACATTGTCAGCAAACAGTATAGCACACCTGCTTTTTTCTGGGTTCCTGTTGCGTGGAGAATTGTTTTCCATCCTTTGATTTTCAGTCTATGAATTTCCTTTTCAGTTAAATGTGTTTCTTTTATACAACGTATTGTATAATCTGCTGCTGGTTCTTCCTTTTCCCCTGTTTAATTGCTTGCTCTGCCTGGTGATTTTGTTCTGTTGTTGTTCTTGAAATTGTGGTCATTTTTTTCTCTGTCTAGAATATCTTTTAGTACTCTCTGTAGGGTTGGTTTGGTGCTCATGAATTTCTTCAGTTGTTCTTCATCATGAAAATATTTTATTTCTCCATTAAATTTGAAGGATAGTTTTGCAGGGTACCTCAATCTGGGTTGGAAGTTGTTTTCTTTCAGGACCTGAAATACTTTACTCCAAGCTCTTCTTGACCTGATAGTTTGTGTTGAGAAATCTGCCATGATTCTGACTGGCTTTCCTTTATAGATGATCCATTTCTTTAATCTAACAGCTTTTAATATTGTTTTTGCTGAATTTATGCAATCTTGATTATTATGTGTCTGAGTGTAGATTTATTTTGGTTATGGCTAATTGGAGATCTCTATGCTTGCCTTAACTCTATGTCCAATTCTTTTTCCATGCTTGGGAAATTTTCTGCTATTACTTCTGCATGTAGTCTTTTTATGTCATTTGTGTTGACTCCTACTGTTTTGCTGACATCTATTAATCTTACATTGTTTTTCTTTGCATCATCTTGCAGCTAGTAAATTGTTATTTCTTGGTTCCTTGTTATTTTTAAAAGATCCTTCCTTTTATGATCACTAGTTACAATGCTGTCCTCAAAGTGTGAAAATTTCTCTTCAGCTTTGTCCAAGTGGTTTTGCTAGCTTTTGATGGAATTTTTAATTTTCCTGGATATCTGTTTGAATCTGTTTCATGCATTCTAATTCTTTCCCAGCTTGTTCATTCAAGGTTTCTATCATTTTTCTATGCTCTATTTTCCTATCTATATCTTCTTTAGATATGCTGAGCAATTCTTTCATGATTATTGTCATTTTTTTACCTGAGACATTATTTCTGATGTAATGTTTTCTATGGCTGATGGAGTTGTTTCTTTACTTCAGTTGCTATCATTTCAGAAATTTCAGGTGTATGACTTCTAAATTCTTCTGTGTCAATGTCTCCTGGACTTGTTCTGGGTGGGGTGGAGGTCTGAGATTACATTCTGCTCCTTCATTTTGTCATTTTCAAAGATCCAGAGGTTCCCTGGTACTAAGCCTCACTCCTGCAATGGTATAGGAGTGGCAGGGCAAGAACTGGAAGTTCTGTGGTGCTCAACATTGGCTGTATAGGGCAGGGTGTGGTTGCTGATACTCCAGAAGCTGTATGGAGCCCATGTCAGCACCTACACCAGTCGAGGAGGGGTGGAAGCATGGTCACTGAGGCCCTCAAGCTGCCCAGGGCTCAGCCCAGCTCCCACACTGGTGAAGGAGAGGGAGGGGCAGGGGCAACTCTACAAGATTCCCAAAGCTATCCAGGGTTTAGCCTGGCCCCCACAAGGTTGCCGTGGGGGAGGTGTGATCACCAAGGCTACAGAAGCTGTCCAGGGCTCAGTGAGGATCCCATGTGCAGTTTATGAAGCTGTCCAAGGCTCAACCCAGGTCCTGGGAGGTGTGTGTAGGGTGGCGTGGTCAGTGAGTCTCCTGAAGCTGACCGTGGCCCAGGCTGGCACTCTCGTTGGTGGGGGAGTGGTGGGGGCAGCTCAACAAGGTTCCCAAAGCTGTCCAGGCTTCAACCCAGCTCAGCTGAGGGTGCAGAGGCATGGACACTGAGGCCACCAAAGCTGTCCGGGGCTCAGCTTGGCTCCCACTCGAGGTTTGTGAATGAGAAGTTGTTTTTTAAAAAAACTTTCTATTCAACAAAAATTGTATTTAGTCTTCTCTTACCTAACAGGTATGTTATGCTCATGACACAGGTTATTAAAGGTAAAAGTGAGGTAATTCTTCATATCTTGGAGCACCTTATTACTGTTGTTGTTATTGTATATAGTGAATCAATAGAAGAAATAAATCATGCAGTTAATGAATAAAGAATTTCAGCATAAAACCTCCTGAATTTGTTAGTACCCTATAAAAGAAACATTTTAAAAATGTAGTGTTTTTTATGAGGTATGATAGTTGTTTTTTCTCTTAAAGTATATTGAAATGCTTTTGCACAGATTATACACATGTGAAAAAAAAAAAAAAAAAAAGCCAGGGGAAAAAATTCTAAACTAGGCACTAGGCACAAGAAGTGAAACCTTCCTATTCTAATCCAAAAATAAGCTCCAGTCATTTATTTGGCTTCGTTCATCTTCCTTTTCACATTAAAAGATAAATTTCCCATATAAAATCACCACATATCAAATATGGTATCAATACTGTGCCCTCATCGCAGAGTTAGGTACTGAACTCTGGGCCTGGTACATTTTTGGCAAAAGTTCTAACACTAAGCTAGATCCTCAGATCTAATTTTAAGTTTTATGAAACTCATAGCACTCTAATGATTGTTGTAAAGATGTATACCAACATAGAAAGATGCTTCTGATCTGTTGCTGAGTAGAAAATTCCAAGTCTCAGAGCACAGTGAACAGACACAAACATTTATATGTGCATAGCAATTATGTAAAAGAATGTACAAACACATTCTGAATAGTGAAGACTTACACAAGCGAAGTATTATTTGATGTTTTTCTCCTTCAATAGGCAATCAAAAAGTATCTCCAAGTTTCCTGGAGAATCTGACTCACACCGTTTGAAATTTAAAAAGTATTTGGTGAATATAGTTGGATGCAATACAGCCATGTTTCAGTAAATCATAGGCTGTATGTATGAGGATGGTTCCACAAGATCATAGTAGAACTGAAAAATTATCACCTAGTAAACATGCTAGTGTAAGTAACATATTTATGATGTTAGTATAAACAAACCTGTATAGCCACTCATAAAAAACAATAGCATATATAACTGTACAGTACATAATGTTTCATGAGATAATAAATGAGTATTATCTACTACAGAACAGTTTTTTTAAATTAGACTATTCTTCTATTTACAATAAAAGAAAACTTTACTGTAGAACAACATGCCATACTGAAACTGTAGCAGCCACACAAACCTCATGCCGTGTCACTTGACTGCAAATGACCATAACAAGTGAATGATCTATAGTTACATAATGTAGGTCTATATATTCTTTGATACTCACAGAATGACAAAATTGCCTAACAGTGCATTAATCAGAAGATATCTCCCTCATTAAGTGACATGTGATGGTAGTTACATTTCATATAATCATTTTTAACTTAGCCAGTTGTCAACTTCGTGTATCATTCCACAAATTTAAACTTCTAGAGTCCACTAGACTTGTGGACTTTTAATGTTTTAACTTGAGCATTCTCAACAATAAAAGTCTTTTTAAATGACTATAGCTACTTCAGGAAAAGAGATTTTTTTTTTGGTGTCAAAGTAAAAATCAACAATTTTTTAAAGTAAATAACAGCAAGGAAAAAAGCTATTAACAGAAATTACACTAATTAGAAATAGCCTAGAATGTTATTCATCAGTTTTTCAAGAAATCAACTGGTCTCAAGAAGAAATGAAATACTCTGAAGCACATAATGAAATAAAACTATAAATGTTATTAGTAACTTTCAAGATATTAAACTCTAGTCAGTGACAGTCTATTAGAACAGGCTCAATTTTTAACAAAATCTTGTGTCAAGCAAATTGCGACAACTGGAAATATGAGTCATAAATAATCAAATGTGCTATTGTTGAGATTATGTAGAACCTGCTAATTCAGAGATGATAATAAACTATTGTATTCCTTAAGTGAGACCTAAGAAACCATGTAGAAAATATACATTGGACCACAGAGCATGAAAAGTATAAAACCTCTAAATGAATGGAGGACAAAAATGAGATATGTTGAAAAGATAATGAAATTCAGATTCTATGTAAGATAATCAATGTTTAAAAACTAGGAATACACAAAGAATTCTAGAATTATTTATCAACAACGCATAGTGAGGAAGATTACTTACAACATACTATAGTGTGCCTTCACTTAAAAACTACCCTGCCAATAGAAGGTAGTATGTCATCTCTGCTCTCCTGCTCTAAATTATTGCCCTTTTATTTAACAGCAAACAGAATAGACTTCATATGATCTACTTTCTTGTCCAAACTTTAGAGATATTTTCCAATAAATAAATCAGCTGAATTTAAATGCCCTGAGTTAGAGGGCCACACCAGAATCATTTGTAAAGCCACTAATCTACTAAATCTACGTACCATATCCCTAACCTAGACTCTTCTTTAAGAGGTTTCAAGTGGGATCTGCCAGTCTACTGACAATCATTGAAGTTGATGACCTATTAAGTAGAAAGAAAACCTATTTCCCATAGTCATGTTATTTAAACATTTAAAATACTTAAAATATTATTTAAAATAGGTATTTTTTCTTAGGGCTCGAGATGGAGTTCTGTGACACAACATCTGTCTAGCACATGAGTGGCCCTGGGTTCTATCCTTAGCATTCCCAAAAAAGTATATTTTTGGGGTAGGTTTGTCTGGGTATGTGGAGAAAGAAACATGAGCAAGAAGGTAATACAGGCTAACACCTTGACCTTGACTAAACAGTATAAAAAGATTAAATTTCTAAAATGAAGATTTATAAAAAAATTGAGATAAATTGTTTAAATGATAATTCAACATAATTTACAGACCACAATGACTGTCTAGGTTTCTGAAATATGCCTAAATTACCACAATTAAATCCAAACATTTTTCTGAGTATTTTCTCAATTATCTGAATCTATATAAGTAGAAACTTTTATCGTGTTTTACACCACTGTAAGATTGGGGTATGGAGGGGAACAATAAAAATGCTAAACTCACTTCTTGGCCTGATTTTCCTGAATTCTCTGAATGTAAAGACTCAATTTCTCCTTCAATCATTGCAGCTTCTAGGCACTCATGCAGATCTTTGAATCCATTGACCTGCAGTGGATACTGACCAAACATTTCAGTGTTTTCAAATTTTTTACCTACAGGAAGAAGAACAGTTTATTAATGTTCCTGTACATGGCTCATCAGCTACTGCTTTCCTGAACCTGAAAACAAACACAACGTTCCACAGCTTTTGTACATGTACATTCACATCCAGCCATACGTTAATAATTACATACCTATTTGTATGTAACCACATACATATATGTCTGTATTAAGTCTTCCAAGAATCAGCTTCTAAACGCAAGACACGATGTTAAACCTGACATATACATGGCATATATATGACAGTAAATAAGACACATGTGGTCCTGAGCTGAAGAGATGATAATAAACTATTGTTTACTGTTCATATTGTTTACTGTTCACAATGAATCCACAATATCTGAGGTAAATGTTTCTCAGAAAATGAAGAGACACATTAGATTTGAAAAGGGAGGAAAAGATGAAAGTAGCTATTATAGAACATTGGAGAGAGGCCACTACACAAAACATACATGATATCAGATAAGGTTATAAGCGTGGGACTAGTGAAGTTCAGGTCTACCTCTCCTTTCCCAAAGTTTCACTTTCTCCACTATCATTATAAATTCATGATCCATTATAGTAGTTACCCATTTGTGTGATTTTTGCACAACAATATTCAGGTAGTTAGGTGGCACCAAGAATGAATAGCTTAATGAAGTCTGAAACATCAGAGATGCAGTCAGAAGAGAATGGAGGAAGGACAGTTTTAGGTATAAGAGTGATATTAAAAATAAACAAGAAAGAAACTACAAAAAAAGACTGAGAGGAACAAAATGCAGACATCAATGAACTAGAAGTTCTCAAAATACTGCAGATGTCTTGCAGTACAGATACCTTGGCAAACAAACTGAAAACTACCCCCAGGGAGATTCACTGGTCTAAAAGAAAGTGTTAGGAAGATTACTTTGAAAGTATTCTAAAGTAAGTTATTCACTGCAACAAACACATAGTTCAAGTAGAAATGTAATAAACAACCCTTATTTTATACAACAGTTCTCAAGCAACTTATTATATGAACCACCAAGACTTCAACACTGATTAACAAATTAAGCATTTAAATAACAACCATTTTTAATTTTCAGAGTAATCATTATGTATTCCAAACATGTAGTAGTAAAAATTTAAAAATTTTTAATAAACAGTATCATATGTGTAGAAATGCTCAAGTAGGATATTAGAAACAGTGCCAATCACAACCTGATTAGGCCAATGACTGCTTCTTCTACTTAAGACAAAATCAGGATGACAGTCTAGATGGCCCAATGTAATATAGTATATAAAGTATTTCCCTCACATTATGAATATTTAGCATGGGAAGCAAATAAAAATGTACTAATTCTTCAGTCGAGGCCAGGATGAAATCTGAGTATCTGCCTTTTTCTGAACCCCAAATTATCAAATACAAACAAAACTTCAATCCATCACTTAAGATCAGGAAGGAAAAGCAAATTTTCTAAATTTTATATTTAGGGAGATTTGAAAAAATAATTTCCAGAAGGTGATGTACTAGGTCATTTGAGAAAAACTGTTTTTCAAAAATTCATGACTTAGAAAAAAAAAGTGTATGATTTGGGACTATTATAAATGAAGTTATACAAGCAAGGAGTCTGGTTTCCTTACTCTGTCAGACTTAGAAAAAAGAAGTGTATGATTTGGGACTATTATAAATGAAGTTATACAAGCAAGGAGTCTGGTTTCCTTACTCTGTCAGAAAAAAAAATAAGAAACTGCCAAGCCCCAAATTTTCAGAAACAGATACTTAGCATAGTGCTATCACCCTTCATGAGTTTTTAAAAAAAGAGTACACAACACTTTTGTATAAACTAATACTGTGCGTAAAGAATTCTATGATCACTCAAAAACTGAGAAATCTGCAATATCCTATGTTAAATTGCAGCTTTCAAAAAATATATAAAAAAATAAATCAAGCTGAGGATATAGCTCAGCGGCACAGCACCAGCCTGGCAAGCATGAGGTTCTGACTTTGAGTCCCAATGCCAAAAAATCAATCCATCAATCAATCAATCCACCAAGTAACCAAATATTCTCCTAATACATACTTCTTAGCTTGCATTCAATTACAATACTGGCTTCAGCCCTTAAGTGAAATGCTTGGGAAGAAAAGTATTTCTGATTTTGCAGTTTTCCAGATTTTGGAATTTTTGTAGACTTTACTGAACATCTCTAATCTGACAATCCAACATGTGAAATGCTTCAAAATCTGAAATGTTTTAGAATATCCTGTCAACTCTCTATATCCTGTTAATCCCTGCATTCCAACAACTGATATTATCACAGAAGTCCTCTCGCTGGAAAGAACAAAAGATGAAGTATCAATTAGCAAGTGACAATGCATTCTCTATCTTCCTTTCCATTTAGTCAATTGTGTCTTTATGTAAATGTTTAGTAGAAGCAATGCAAAAGGGATTCCCTGACACAGAAAGTCAAATTAAAAATTAAAACTACTCAAAAAACAAAGCCATTACCAAATAAAGGTATAACAATATATAATCATGTACTATTAATTCTATATTATAATTTATTATATAATTGTATAATAGTATTTCTTTCCTTGGAATAAAAAAACATGTAACTATACCTTCAAGCACTCCCACAGCCAGGAATCTTCCATAGAACAATTCTACCATGGGGTTCTTTGGCTTTTCTTCATCCCTAATGCATGTTAAAAATACATAAATATGCTTATAATTCTTTGGATCTATAAATAGAAAAAATTAACTGTACATTAAACATTTCCATATCATAACTCATGGAAGCCAGAATAAAGGGCAAGAAGCAGTACCAGAGAGGCAGAGGTGGGAGCCCCCGGGCACATCTCCCTGAACCTCCCTGACATACCTGGAAGCGTGCTGTACTAACTGTGGGGGCAGAACTTCAAGACAAGTGCTTCCATTTAGTGTAGCCCTGACGACAGCAAACTGAAGTTTATGGGGAGTGCTACTCAAGAGTTCAAATGGACAGAAGAGAAGAGACAGCTGCCTTCCAGACCAGAGCTGCCAACGTCAAAACCTTCTACACACACCAAGAAAGTAGCTCTCAAATGCCACATTCTATGACAGAGACAGTTTGCAAAGTGTGGAATTTTGTGCCCTTAGATAATGTGGACATGGTGCTAAATTAATCTCTTGAAAGACTTCTCCAACTTAGTTTAAGTTCACAGATGAGAGTCTGCAATTAACTAGTTTTCAATGACTGGCAGCTTGGTCAAATTAAAAATAAGATGATTTCTTTTCAGTTTACTAGTATCCTAAATTTCTTTCATACTGATTGACAAGAACTTGGGTAGAAACTGCACTAAGTTCTCAGAATAGTATTTTAGTTGGACAGTTAATAGGTTAAATTTTTGCTTAAGTTTCAAAATATCAAAGTTAAGAGATAGTGTTAATCTCGTGTGACCTGATAACCTTTTGAAATATAAAACTAAGGTCACAGGCAATTCAACATTTGAAGTACTGAAGGAAACACAGCTAGGTAACAGAGAAAATATATGCTGCAGTTGTAGAACTCCACTTCTGTGCAGGTATGGAAATGAGAGGCTTACACAGCTCAGACCACACAGATTAGGAGACTGGGACATGAATTTTCTTATTTATCTGCTTTATATGGATAGGCAAAATAATCCAGTTGATAAATGTAACTGCTATGATGTCATCTGGAAACTTCTTTTTTCCTGGATTTTGGCAACAGAGGAGGAGTGCATTTCAAAGTATGGAAGCATCTTTTAGTTGTCAATATTATAAGATTAGAACACCTTAAACTTTCATTTCATTGTAGACCATGTTAAAAAGCCTTATTGGACAATGATGCTAGCCATAATTTAGAACTGAAAAAAGATAAAGTGAATCTTTGGCCTGAGGTTTCAGTCTGTGTTCTCGGTGCTTAGTACTGTGTGCTGCAGATTCATGTCAAAGCCTTGTGGCAGTCTGAAGACTCTACCAATGTTTCAAAAAAAACAAAAACATAACGGTTATTAGGAGAATGGCTCCATGAGATGAGAAAAAGAACTGCCCTGAAAATGTTGATTCCCTCCTCTAAGAAAGCTAGCCACATACTTTAAACAACCAAGGTTTTAATAAGTAAGCCCAACTAATACAGAAGAAGTAGGGAACATGGAGGAAAAACCACATCCCTGTCCTTGTATTTCCACTGGAAAGTATTTCATCAGAAGTACAAACTCCTTCTGAACTGCTCGATCGCTAACACATTCACCCTCATGCAAAGCATTTGCAGTAACTAAGAGAACGAATATATATTAGTCCTTTCAAGAGTCACTTTTTAAGTCTTTCTAGGTGCATTGTGATCTAACAGTGGAGAGTGAAAGCTATCCAGAATCTGTCCCTACAAATTCCAAACAGCCTGTCAATAATATAGATAATACTGGGATTTCTGTAAGTCTATCCTGGCTTTCTACTTCTCTGTTGACATTGAACACATAAAAGAAAAACCTGAGTGCTACTTACTGAATTCTAAAACATCATTATTAAACTTCATGGTAACTTACGTCTCCTCTTCAGCTTTCATTTGGAAGGCATCTTCTAACCAATCTAGCAATTTGTGTGTAAACTCACTCACATCTTGCTGTGGAAAGAAAAAGAGGTGCTGACATTTGAGCCTACTGATAAAAATATTAAATGTTGCAACATAAAACCTACAGGACAACTCACTGGAATGTCTAATTACCAACTCCTCACAAAGTAACATTCAAAATGTTTCACATCAAATGCGACAAGCTTTTATGGTTTAATCTAGATATAAACTACTAACACTTTTAAGCAAACATTATAATTACCATTACCAGGGTTTCACTTTAGGAAAAATGGGTATGTGAGAGAGAGAGAGAGAGAGAGAGAGAGAGAGAGAGAGAGAGAGAGAGAGAGAAAGAGAGTGTTCCTACGTAAATTAGAACTTAACAAATGCGTTTATAAGAAAAATATCAGCATACTCCAGCAAAGCTCTGTAATAAATTTTTATTAAATAAAAGACTCATATTACTCCCAAAGAGTCCTACATTTTGTAAGGAATCATCAACTTTTCACTTTAAAGAAAGATTAGTGACTTCTGACAATTCAATTTCTAACGTTAACCTTTACATATAACTTTAAGCTATATTAACCTTTACTAAGATACCTGTTAATTTTGGCAAGTTAAGTCTAACTAATTGCTGACTTTCCAACTAATGCATAAATTAAACTATGAAACTCAAACTGATCCTCCACTCAGAACCAACTGCCATACACCACCTTCTGTCATTCCTTTGTCCTTACTCCCCTAATATAAAAAAAAGCAGTATGTGGTAAGAATACTCAACTACCATAATTTCAATAATGTGAGCTGAATGACAGATGACTAGGTATACAAAGAACATCTGGAGAAAAAATAAATCAACCAAATTAAGACTGCTCACAGACAGATAAATCAGTACAAGCAAATTGCCTTTACTTATCAAAACACCCCAAGTATAAAACAAGGCTCCATATGTTTTTCCAGCTAGATTTAAGAGTGCCTAGGTCAACATATTCACCTTAAAAATAATGACAGTGGCTGGGAGTGGTGATGCAAACCTATAATCCCAGCTCTCAGGAGGCAGAGGCAGCAGGGTGGCCATGAGTTCCAGGCAAGCCTGGATTATATAATGAGCTCAAGGCGAGCCTGAACTACGTAGCAAGACCTTGTCTTAAAATAATAATGACGATGATGATGATGATGATCATAATCATGAAAATAGGCCTAAACACCTTAAGTAAATTGTTCCAGAGTCATACGTTATATAGTACTAAACACAAAACTATAAACATCCATGGTACCTATGAATAAATACTTTATATGTTCACTGAGAACCAAAGAATATGACCTTATTTAGAATATATTTTTTGTAGATATAATTGTAGTCACATTCTCAAGATGAGATCCTCCTGGCTAAGCGTGGATCCCAAATCCAGTGATGGATGTTCCTGTAACAAACAGGCAAAGATATGACACACAGACAGGAGAAAGTGACACGTGAGGACAGAAAGTGGAGCTGATTTCCCACAAGCCAAGAAATAGCAGAAGCCAGCAGAAGGAAGAGGAGTAAGGAGTCTCCCCTCAGCCCTTGGAGGAACATGGTCTGGGTGACACCTTCATTTTGGAGCTCTGACCTTTAAAACTTGTAAACAGTAATTTTCTACTTTTTAAAGTCACCCAGTCTAGGGGCTGGGGATTTAGCTCAGGGGCACAGTGCCTGCCTGGCAAGTGCAAGGTAGAGAGTTCGATTCCTGGTACC